CCGTTTGTTTCGATGCCGGAATGTTTGACCTTGTTAGCCAGCTTTCCCCATTTTATCGTTGACATGAAAGTCAATTTTTAGAAAATAAAAGGAAATTACGAAAATATCAAAACATCAGACTTCCGGAGGCCCACTGAAAGAATACGAAAAACTAGAAGAAAAAGTTATGCACAGCATGTGCGAATTCAATTAACAAGTGTGAATGAAACGTAGTAAACTGAGAACAACGTGAGTGTGCGGCGTCTAGCGGCCACCCTGCGGAAAACAGAAACTCACGTTATAGCTCTAGTTTCAACATGATAAATTTGCATAATATCCTAGCACTGCAACCGACACTTTTCGGGCACTCCAATGACTCCTCAGGGTGCGCTTCTTCTCTAACATCAACTGTTTGTCGATTATGTCAATGTCAGCCACAATATCCAATTGTGGGACAATTAATACCTCCCTGGTTAGATAGAGAACTGGAAAACAAATTCATGATAATTGTGAAAAATTCATTGAAAATTATTACTCTTCTCTGAATTGAATGCATTGTGAGAACGGATATCCTGTCAAATTTCTTGTGAAAAAGGAAACTACCAGGTTTTTTTTTGCATACTTGCAAAATCAGGGACCGGGCCGAAGATTTCCAGAGCCCGGCCCGGCCCGGCCCGTGACTCCAAATCAGGGCCCGGGCTTTTTTCAGATTTTCAAGATCCGGCCCGGCCCGTTGCAAGAGTGGCTTTTTGGGCCTATTTCAAATGTTATTTTTCTCTTTATCCAATTTTCAGACGATTTTCATGGTTTATTCCAAAGTAAATTGGAAAAATTGAACCAAAATGTTGAAAATCAGGGAAAAAAAAGGTGAAAATTTTCAACACATGAAAATAACATTTAAAATAAGCTTTTATTAGGTTGGCTTAAAAATAATGGTTGTTTTTGTGATCAATTAAATTTCACTTAAAAAAGGAAGTAGACAAGATTAACTTAAAAACTATTTGCCATAATTATCAATTACTTGTAGCCAACATCCGCGCAAAGAATGAGGTCCGCTGTGAAAGAACCCCACTGGCTGTGACTCAAAGTAGGCGACTACCCATTTTTCGGTATCAACGCGGCTTTCGAAGTGGTTCTCGGCTAATGGGGGTTCCATTGGCCTGAATAAGCGGAAATCTGAAAGTGCCGAATCAGCACTATTTGGCTTGTAAGGGAGAGCTTCCCAGCCCTATTCCTCGATATCTGCTGAGTGACATTTGACACATGCGGACGAACATTATTGTGAAGAAATTTTGTCGTTGGTGTATTCACACCTTGACGTCTCAACGCTGGCTGAATTTGGCGCTATTATCATTGATAGAGTTCAGAGAGCAAAAATGTTTCCTGGATAGAGAAATAAGTACCGACAAACGCGCCACTCATTATTTTTCAGCCAACCTAATAGAATACAGTACTCCGTTCCTGTGCCTGTAAGAAAAATTAAACGACATTCGCTTTTAACGAGGATTGATTTCGGACAAGAGTAATATTTTAATTTTTGAAAAAATTCAGAGTGATCTAAATTCTGGTGATCAAAAATTAACTTTTAGAAAACTTGTAAAATAATTCTGCAGTTGTGTTTTCTTCTGCAAAATTTATATTGACATAACCAATAAATGCTATAATATTTAGAACGCCTCCTCTTCTTACAAGGGAATTGTTTTCAGAGGGGCGTTGAGAATTTGCTCAAAATTTGTACAAAGGTACTTTCGAACACGCTGAATACGATTTTAGCAATATCTCGGTCATAACCCTAATAGGAACCGAAATATGGGCTCTCAGAGTGTTTTCAGTACTAAATTTTGACCGAAAACGTGCATTTTTCGAGCTTTAAAACTCGTTTTCCAGGATTTTTTCAAGCGGGACACTCTTTTTTGATCATTTCTCTATCATGTGAAATAGTTTTTGAACAATTAAAAAAAAATTTTTTTTTTGAAAAAAATCATCATGGGGTACCCCACATTTCAAAAGTAATTTTTTTGGAAATTTTTTTGAAAGTGCAAAAAAGTCTTTCAAACATTCAGAAATGATAGGAACTTCATTTTCACAATATTTGGCAGCTCGATTTTGTATGTGAGCCCTGATAATTCCCTAAATCTGATAATTGCAAGGAATTTGAAAACTGTAATTTCTCAAATATTGCTCGAAATCACACGGAATACACAGAAATATATGAAGATCATTTGGGTAATTGATGTAGTGGTGTTCCACTCAAAAAAAAAGCAAGACGGAGCAATTCCGAGAGTCGAAAGTTTTGCTTTTGGGCGATAGGACAAGTCGAAAAAACAATATTTCAAAATTTCTTCAAAATTTCAAACACCTTCTTTTTCACTTGGAAACGTCGGGAATTCATGAAATAAGTATAATTTGTTATTCAGGGGACCAAAATGGATATAGAAAATTCGTCTCGAAAAAAACAAAAAAAAGAATTAACACAGTGGCGTTCGAACCACCATAGTCACTCTTAATGACTATGACCTAGATTTTTTTGTCATCGTGTTGCGGATAATTCAAACTATCAGCACTGAAATTTTTAGCAAATTCTCAACGCCCCTCTGAAAACACTTCCCTTGTTAGAAACTTAGTTATCTCAAATTCAGTATGAAATTAAAAAATATATATATGTATAATAAAGTATGTGTAACTGTGACAAATGCTTGATTAGTTGACAAGTTTTTGATATCTCTCATTGGAAATGAGATAATTGAGCTCACAGTGGAAGTATAGATTAGCCACAAGTCATTTTTTTGCCATTCTCCAATTGAGCGGAAGATTGTTTTCAAGAAACTGGAAGTACAGTTTTTAAAAAATCTAAATATGTTACATTTTAATTCCTACTTTCTCTCAATATCTTTTCTGGGGAAAATCTCGGTATGTATTTTTGCACTGAAAAATTATTCCAAATCTACAAACTATTTAGTATGATACTCTTTCATAATTGTTCCATTGAAATCTTTACGGATATTCAATGTTTGTTAAACAAAAATAAATAATTATTGAGTTTGCAGAAGATCTGTAATGATCACAAGAAGCTAAAATACAGTTATTTTGGTCTGATCAACTTTATCTTCGATTCTTAATAATATTTCCTTCAAAAAAATCAGTTAAACTCAGTCAAAGCCATTGATATTGGAAAACCTGAGAGACTCGTGGATAAACTATTTTTAGATTTACAATCACAAAAAATTTCACAAAAAACTATCACAAAGTTGGCCCTCGTGATTCATGTAAAAACATTGTCTGTCAAAGAATTTCGCTTTATTTCCAATCTTTTCTCTCTTGTGTTCTTATAATCTATTTTGAATCGACATCCACGGGAGCATTCATAAACCCTTCTTTTCACCATGAATACCTCATGAAAACAGTCACTCTGCTCATGATATCAGAGTGACCTGGTACCCATTACGCAACAGTACCATCTCGCCATTGTGTATCACATACAGATCAGATGATAAGTTGATGAGTTCTGATAACCAAAACAGAGTCAGAAACCTGTATGCACACCAGAATTATTTGACATAAGCGGGTTTGAAAAGACTGCGTTTCACGGTTATCACTACCGTATCAGAATTTTTCGGAATAGTGGGCGAAGTTTCGAAAATCTTCAATCATCAGTGTGTGTCATTTTAGTAGGTTAGGGCAAGAGAACTGGACAAAGTTCACTGGTAAACTCATAAAACTGGCCGGAAGTCAAAACTGTTTCTGGAACAGTTGTTTGCTATGTGTATTTTCAAATGGGGTCTTTATTGACATTTGTTGGGAGCATCAATAAACAGGAAAAATATCAAAGAAGTAACTGCAAGCGGTTAAGGTAGGTGAAAATGATATAAAATCCATAATTTCAGATACCTTGAACTTCTTTTTTGAGCATTGACTGAATTTATCTCCTTTTTAATGCCAAAAAAGTTTGAAAAGTAACTTTCATATGATGATGATTATTTTGACAGATGACTACGTTTTGAAATCTCTCACAAGTAATGAGGAAAATTGGGTCGAAGACATTGATGCTCAGTGGGGAATTTCTATCAAAGGTTGTGCGGTATTTAAGCTTCTTTGAAAAACATTACAAAATATTGACGAATTGAATTTTATCATAACTGCCTATTAGTTTTTAGTCAATTACTTTATCATGCATCTTACTGTGACTGGAAACCTTTTTGTGAAAAATTTAAGATTTGAAGAATTTCCATTTTCATTTTCTTACATTTTTTGCCAATGGAAATAGTTTATGACTTTGTAAACGTATATGTTTTCAACTAGATTGAAGATTTTTCAACAAATTTCAAAAATTTTGTTTTATAATTCCAACTGCTAATTTTGAGACTGTTAAAATTTTTTTTTATTGTCTGTTCGAAAACTGTTTAATTGCATGGAAATTTGTTTTTGAATGAAACTTATTCCTTATCCAAAACACCAGCATTCAATATTCTCCTGAAATATCATGCCATCTCATCGTACTCCTCCAAATCATTTCCGGTTTGAAAACTGACACCCATGTACAATATGCCGACCGCCGACCCTCAGAAGTCCGAATCTGATCCGCTCATGCCCTCCTGTAAATCATATCCCACAGTTTTTTATGACTTATACTTGTCCACTATATTTCCAAACGGCATATTTATTTCGGAACCAAAAAAAAAAACATCTGACACAATCACATATCTAATAATTGAAACCCTAATAACGGAGAATACAGGAGTTGAAAATATAAAGTGACTTGGGGAAAGAAATAGTTAAAAATGAGAAAAATGAAATCCTTACATAATACTGGACATGCTGGAAATGTTAATGTGAAATGACAAAGAAAACGACTAAGAAGGGACAGAGAGGTATTGAGATGGAACAATTTTGAATTAGGAAGACAAGAAATGAAATTTCAAAATGATACAAGTCTACACAGTGGACAATTTTTGTGACTCTTTGCGTAATGAGAACAGATGGAATGGTGGGACCCAAATTATCAATACAATTTACTCAAAAATCTAATCAGAAGAGGTATCAAGATCATCTCTGGTTGGTGAAACCTGTGGGGAGGTCATTGGTGTTGAGCTAAAGCTATCCGTAAGGTTTTGAAGGATCAGTGTGACATCAGGCAGTGTAGCTACTCTTCCAACCATCGGCATAATCGGGGCTGCTGCAATATTGTGACGTCCAGAGTCATGGGTTGCACGGTGAACGAGAAGTGTTCTCGATTGACAGAATCCTTTCCCACAAAGCTCACATTTGAATGGTTTTTCCTTCTGATGAATGTACTTGTGATCACGAAGATGGTCCTGACGACGGAAAGCCTTTCCACAGACATCGCAGGAATATGGTCGCTCATCAGTATGGGTTCTTTCGTGGATCAGAAGATTGTAAGACTTTGTGAAATGTCGCTGACAGTACGAGCAAATGAATTCCTTCTTTGGTCGAGCTGCTCTTCCAGTTGCTCTTCCACGGCCAGGAATCATGAACCTGAAACGAGAAAATTAGAAAAAAAATTAAAAATTAATCTGATACAGTAACCCTTATCAAAACATTTGTGTTTGAAAGACTATCATGCTACTAACTCACCATGGTTGATCGTACGGAGCAAACGGCCGAATCGGTGGGTTGCTTAAAGTTGGAGATGCTTTTGGAGACAGGCTCTCCTCCTTGATTTTTTGCTCGGATTCTATGGAATCTGCCATATGAGTGAAATCGAATTTCGACTTCTTCATCTCTGCCATTATTGGGAGTGCTGGATTCATTGTCATCATTGCCATCTTCCGTTGATTGAGGAAATTCTGGAAGTGCATATGCTGTTGGGTCATCATCATTCGGAAAATTTGATCGTTGGTTTGGGGGAAGATAGATGTTTGGAGTTGTCGTTGCCACGGAAGCATTGTGTGAAATGTTGAGGATAGGCGGGCTAAAATGAAAACATGTTGAGAATAAAAAAATAAATTGATGTTACAAAAACGACGAATCAAAAACGAGGAGCAAATACGAAAGGATAGAGAAATGGAAGGAGAAGAGATGGGTAGATGGTTGGAGGTGATAGAAATTCAGAAGAAGGAGCGATAGTTATTGTTTGCCAACGATTCACGAGAAATTGTCAGTTTGTTAACGAGTATTATCGTCTTATGGGGTAATCTAGTACAAACATGTCTCAAAACGAGGCAAGAAATGGGGGGGGGGGGTTGGTGAACAGGCGGAGCACTCCGGAGAGACGGGAGAAGGATCAGGATCGTCTCCAAGCACACAGTAGGAGGTTGATGTACCCCACTTTGAATGCCGCCGCCTCTTCTTTAAGTGACAAGGGGCGTTATTGAAAATTTTACGGTCTCACTAACACTTCTGAATTTCGAAACAGTGATACACATCGAATTTGAAAGAAATTCTTTGTTCATAGTCGGTAAGTAGAAAGGTGTTGATGGTCTGTTGATGCTCCGGCGCATGATATTATCAAGTACATGACGGCTATAAAAACGCTGGCTTCCGTGCTTCAGTCCAACATCAAAGGTAGCCGACATACACGGAGGTGTTGAAGTTGTGTTTACCAACCAGTAGATAGATAGTGTGGTGCTTCAATTGGGAAATCGAGTCAGAAAAATGGGAGGAGATTTGGGGAAAAAATAGAGTCATTTTCCTGGGAAGTTCAGAGATACTGAATGAAAGCGACGCAAGGAGCAGAATGAGTCAGACGAGTTGGCCGAAAAAAGAAGAAGCAGGGCAATTTTTCGGGGTGGAAAAAGTCATAGATATATGAACAAATATTGGGGGTATTTTCAGAAGGGGTAGGAAAAAGGAGCACTGTTGAATATCAGGAAACTTTACTTCTATTGACAATGTCATAAGGCTGCAAAACGACATTCAACTCTTTCGGTATTTTTTCTTCTCCCTATTTTTGAATGAATGGATGATAGATGAGGAAAAATTGGGCATCATCATCAGATGTACAGTTTCCCAATGGGAGACCAAAGGCTATCACCATATCATTCAATTGTTATGCTAAAATCGTATTGCAAGAAAGCCACCTCTTTTTTTGGGTTGAATAGGCACCGTTTCAAAAACGTTTGCTGCGCGTTTCCGATTGTTTGAAAAAAAGGGAGCGTCATATATAGTGATGCATTTGGTGACGCAGAAAAAAACAGTAGAACTCTTCCGTAATGATTTCAGAATATAGAAAAGAGGGGGTGGGGCGTTGGAAATAGCACCGTGTCATGATTCAATCGAAATGCAGTAATTTTCTTTCCCGAAATCTGTCATGAGCACGAAGGATGTATGGAAGCTCTAAACCCATACTATTCAGTAACCGGACACTAACATAAAACTGAAACAGAAATAATAACTGAACAAGTTGTAGAAACTTCAGCTCTCAATTTTTTTTTGTTTTTTTTTTCAAAAAAATAGAGAACGATATAGACAACCTGAAAGCTTAGCTGATTACTAGCTACGTGTGCTACCTAGATGCTGACTAGCTACTGAATGAAACCTAGTTTCTGTGTGATACATCACAGCTACCGCTATTGCTACTGAACCCCGACCCCAAGATGGGAACTTACCTCAGCCTCGAACAGAAGACTGAACCTCAAAACTTCAAGAGAATCAAAGCTCCACCGGGAACCGGTAGATGTATAGAATGACTGAAGTGGCTTCCCAGAAGCAGACGGAGGCGGCCACCATTTCGTGTTCAGCTCGTCTTCCTTCGACCTGGACTCCGCCCATCCGTCTTTTGGTGCTCTCCTTTCCCCCAACGCACGCGCGCTGGTTGACTGACTACGGTAGACCTGTGCTGCTGTGTGTGTACCGCCTACTTCTGAAGTTTTGAGTGGGAAACCAGAATAAATGGAAACCCAAGTAGTAATTAACTAGAAGACGGTAGCTCTTAAAAAGCCATAAATGTTATAATACTGTGATAAGAAAAAGACAGCAGCGCCATCTGGTCTGAGGTGGGATATGAATTTTCATATTGTCCAGGGGAACGTGTAGACTGAATGGAACCAATATATAAATGGATATGAACTGAAAAATTGAACTACAATTAAAGAGAGAAAATAATTGAAGAAAAAAAAATTTTTTAGAATATACAGACAAGGGACCTCGTGAACCCAGATACAGATGAAACTTTCAGGATGGGTTGAGAATAGCCGATCTAGACACCTCTGATAGTTTTAGAATCCGCCAGCGAGTTTCAGCAGAGTTATATCAATTTTAGTACTCGTTCAACAATTGAAAAGACATTTTTTCGAGAAAAAATTCGAATATGAGATGTAATTAACATCTAACAAAGCTGCTTTTGCACTAAAAAGACAATTTTTGGTACTGGAACTGATACGACTAACGGGCGGATTGTAAAATTTTTAGAGTTGTCTAGATAGACAATGTTCAACCGATCCTGAAATGTTCATTAACATCTGGGTTTACAAGGTATTGAGGTTCCCTTGTAAACAAAATTAGATTTAAATTTTTGTAAACAACCTCTCAGTTTGAATTCAACAAAACGAGATACGTGGTTTTAAAGAGACCTAGTTCATATTTCAATGCAAATTTCGAAATTTTCGGAATTTTCCGAGTACGAATGGTATATCTCAATGGAATTTAACGAAAAAGCTGTCCATCACAAAAATGTATATAATCCCGTTTAGTATATTCTGAAATTTTCAGAGCAGTGACACATTCTGAACTACATTTTCAGGACATCAAAGTTGACTATTTTCCAATCAAAAGGTCCAACATGATAAAGTTTCGTTCTGCACTGTACCCAAATGGCATTCCACATTTTCCCTAATAAAGTTCAAAACCAAACACGTGAGAATCCTCTATCAAAGTATCATTCTCTTTTAAGGGAACACAGAACACCGCATGTTTGGACCACTTGATTTTACGACCCTCACTACATAAACCTTGTCTTTTGGTGCAACATGCCGCCTAATGATAATTAGCTATTATCAATGAGAAACACAAATGATGGGTCAACGAGACGCTGATAGTTACCCGACATTTGAATTTGTGCAGACGATATGTGAGTCAGTAATATAGAAGTAAATGACATCCGGAAAAATATAAAATGTGTCCAGTAGAACCCTGGTTCTCACCAAAAATTGTGTGAAAATATTCGACGGGTAATGATAACGAGTCAGCGAGCGTAGGCTTCCACTTAGTAGGTAGTTTTGGGGTACAATTAATCCGCTTACTGAAAGTGAAGACGAGCTCACAATGCTGACAAGAGACAGTTATCATGAAAGTTCTTGACGCGGAATAGAGGGTTTTTTCAAACAAAGACGCAAAAGGACAAAATAGATAATCTAATGGGAAACTTTGAACCTTTTGAAGTGCCAAAAATAATTCAGGTTCTAGGAAACTGTTCATGTTAGGTTGTTCCCATGTCGGCATCTTTTTCAGCTCTTAATACCTCAAAGGAGTCCCACTGATGTTTTCATCATTACTGAGTACATTACGCCTTGCTAATCCTCATGGATACTCCTTTTATTTTTGTTTACATTGATCCATGATTCCCACCTATTGCGTCTTTCTCACAGAGGACCCCCACTGTTTCAATCAAACAAACAACTCTTGAGGTCCCTCCGACGACGCGTTTCAGGATTCCCGACTCACTTAGGAGGAGGAACATTTTGTTAGATAGGGGGAGTGACGAATACAAAAGAGGGTTTGTTGAAAAAAGGTAAAAAGGCAGAAAATTCATTAGTGAGAGAGGAACACCACTATTGTTTTGTGTTACTGTAGATTATGATATGAGTGACAATAGGACGAATTCCTCTCTTTTTGTTATTGAAAAGTGAGAAAGAGGACGGTATGCAATTTTTAAAAAAATTCCATCTCTCAACCTTAATTGTTTGAGCGTTGCTCCTTTTTCCGGCGGCATCCAGGTTACTCTAAAAAGCTATTGATATTGCAAACAGAATCCATTGATCCTGTTTGATAGGTTATTGTACCAGTTGTTGTGTTCCTCTTTTGCTTGTTTGATCCAACCCTCACTGATGAATAGTGATGGAAACAATGCGAGGAGGTCAGATGAAAGAAGGTGTCAGCAAGCGGCTGCTCACAAAACGTTTAATTGGAGCTATATTCTTCTGACGCCGATTGCACGTCAGCTAAGAGAGGCTGTGTGTTTGCCTATATATCATGACACGTATTGTGACTCATTTCGAGACAAACGGTTTCTCCGTTTTATGGAATGGATTAGTGAGCAATCAAGCCAACGGAAGAGGGGGAACATCTTATTGACAGCTGGGATACTGTAGGTAACCATAAACTGGAACATTCAATCATAATTCTTTAAGCTCTGCTGATTTTCCATTGGGAAATTCCGGGAAAGTTTGTTCTCCTCCTAGTGAAGCGTCACACTTGCTCTTCAATATCAGCGTTTGCTCCTAAACACAATTTTTACGCTCTTAAGGTCTCATTGTTTGACTACACACCTTATCAAGATGTTATTGGAGAAGCAAAGCGAGAGCGAGCTGCAGGAGCAGAAGCCTACCGTATTCATGAAGTGCTCTCGCTTTGGAACCGGATCATTCTCTCGCATCACTCTTCCTAAAACTTTACTCAAACATGAGGCACAAATCCATAAACGGTCGCCGAGCGAACTTTTACTTGGAGGGAGGAAAGGTGTAAAGCACACGGTATGATATCTTGTAGTGTTTGTACAAACGTGCGAATTGACAAAGAGATTAAGAAACGATCTGGATAATGAGGGTCTTTTCGGAAAAGCTCGGAAAGCAAGTAATAATGAGAAGCATCGGAAGGGGTACGACGGAGAACACATTTTTCTTCGTTAGAACAAAAAAGTCCAATTGAGATGGGATAAGAGAAAAAAGCAGGGGAAAACCCAATCATGGCTCCCTTCCTCTAGTTCCCGCTACCTAATCGCATATAATTATTCAACAACATGTCGAACTCCTCATAAAAGGTGCCCATATGTCTAGTTGAACGAGAGAAACCATTACAGGTTGAACACCTCTTCCTCCGTTTGTCTTTTTTAATTGGGCCATCGTAAAAATGAAATTTATTCACTTTAAAAGAGGACAAACGAGAATGGAAGGGATTATCCCGCGCGAAAAGAGTAGCAGCTGTATGGGGTCATGGAGTTTTTTACAAACAGTTTGTACTAAAACTGGCAGATGAGCATCAAAAATAACGGTCAGAAAATTTGTGTGATGTTTCAGCTGTAATACAGTACCGGCCAGATATACAAAATCGTTTTTTCAATTGTTTTTCCGGACATTTTGATCCTTTTCTGAAGTCTAAAGCTCGGCTTTCAAGATTGGAGTCACTTTGAAAAATTTGCAGGGTGGAAAACTAGCTTATACTAAACACTTCACATTAACAGACATTTTTGAGAGCTCCTAGTTTGTCAGATATCTACCGATTTCTGAAAGGCGCTTCTTTTTGACCAGTTTTTGTATTGAAAACGGGAAAAAAGCAGGAGTCTTAAAGAAATTGGGGAAAATCTGAAAACCTAGGAGTTTTCGAAAATTCTGTGAGTGCGATGTTTTTAATCTTGGTCAGTTTTAATCCATCCAAAGTTTTCAACGTGAAAACTTGACAGCTGAGCTCCAAACTCCTGAAAATGTTCAAAATAGGCTGAAATCAACAGAAAAATACGCTTCTACACATTTTATTGGCTAGTACTGTATGTACTTTTCTATATGAACAATGAACCCAATAGAGTTTTGATTACTTCGCTTAAGTTTCATACTATCTTGAATGCACTACCGCAACCCGACGACCACCTATCATTATTTTCTTTAACAACTTCCACTTCTCGTCAAACCGACTCAATCAAACAAGTGAAAGCTGTGAAAACTGACAAGTTTGTCATCGTCGTTTCTTACTTCCTGAACATCATAAATCTACCGTAGTCGGCTGAGGTGTCGGTGCACACACATAGGATACACACACACATGGAAGCGTCGTTTAGTGAGCGAGAGAGAAAAGGAAGAGTCTCGGGTTTTACGCCGTAAATTGTCTTCTCTTCGTCTACCCCATTTTTATTATTTGCGCCTTTAAACACAGCATCTTCTTGGTTCGTCTTCTGTCCCTTACCTTCCACTTCCTTTCCTGGAAAACTATTTACCGTGCGAAGTGGAACTGCCTGAAAGGGGTTGCTCTTGCAAAATGATAGGAGCTAGGGAAAACGTAATGTGATGAAATGAAAATCGAGGGGAAAGAAAAGGCTATGGTGCATATTAGGGGTACTTATGATAAGGTAAATTAAATTACATAACTCCACTAAGGTCATTAGGGCAGTTGGTGATAAGCAGAGCCAAAAAATGTTGGAGGTTATGGTATCTATGATTGACTAGGTTTGAAAAAGACATAAAAATATACCAAAATTTTATCGCTGTAAAAAAGCGCAAGGGCAGACTACCGTGTCATTTGTTCTCCTATAACAAGGAACGAAACTTATGGTCCAATTAATTAAAAAAAAAGTTTAAAATTGAAAACCAAATTCCCATTTATAGCTCATCTGAAGACGATTCATTTCACTCACATCTAAAATATTTTATTACCTCCACCCTTGCTGAAAAAGTGTTCACTCATTCCATTGTATGTACTCATATTCATTTTCAATCGCACCTAATTGGCGGTGTACCTCAAAGAGACTCATTTCATGGTTTTATTTCATTTCAGCATACTTCACAGTTCTAATTGTCTGCGTCCGTAAGCATGTGTGTGTTCTTCACGATTGGTTGACAACGATCAGAAAAAGGAGCAGTGTGAAGGAGAAGAAGCAATTGTGTGTATCAGGTCCGGCGGTATTTCGCTTTGATCTCTTTCCAACGTGTGCTTGAGCACACTGTTTGAGGCACAGAGACCCGTGTGCCCCAAGTTTTCTCACCTTTCCCTCCTCTCAATTTTCAACACCTTATTTGCGTTATGACAGTTTCCGTTAGTTGACAAACTGTTAAGGAAAATGAAGACCCTATATATGGCAGTAGTGTGAAACTGTGGGGAGAGAGTCTGTAAAATTGACAAGCGATGGGAGGGGGACTGGCACGACTTAACCGACGATTAGTAGAAGGCAACAATCGTCTTTGTGAAGGGATTTTCCACCTTATTTTTGATAGATAAGGGTCTTCTTCTGCTTTTGGTTCAATACCTGGAAGGAGTAGGAGAGGAGTACAAACAACGAGTACAAAGTTCCATGTTACAAAATTAATTTTTCCTGTTTTTGCTTCTCGATCCACACGACTGCCTACCCTCAAAAAAAAGGAAAAAAGATTTCTCGATGTCCTGTTAGCCGCTGACTCATCATCAGTTTCACTCGAGTCTCCCACACTTCCCTAGGTTCCCATCGGCTCCCCTTTTCCTCCGGAACTGCTCAGCAGCTTTCATGTTTCCGCTAGTAATATCACAATAGGAACTAACCATGGAAAAGGAGGCATCGTCGATTGTCCTACTCATAACTGATGGGAACATGTACAGTACCAAAACTTTCTCCTTGTTTATGTTCTCCACTGTGTTTATTCGGAAAGTTAAGGGGAACTAACTATACAGCAAACAGTAATCCGGGAAATAAAACGGGTACAGAAATCTCATTCTCGCGCATTAAGGATGGCATTAAGTGCAAATATGAGAGCATTAAGAACGGCGGCATGTGCACGGCTATCGACAGTGATTACAGTAACTGGACAAATATTAGTAAAGTATTTCGCGCAAAGCTTACCAGTTGATCTACCGCGCGAGGGGAACGCATGCTTCGACAAATGCCGACAAAGGAGTCAACACGTCAAGCGGATAATCTTTATATCAACATAAACTTTGTTATCGTTACTATATCGTTTTGGCATATCTTTTGATGAGGAGCCGGAGGAGGATTAAGGTGACAGATCTGCCAGGTGTGGATTGACCTAGTATTGGGGATATCCGGAACCTAAATACACCTGTGATTGAGTATTTAATGATTTGAATGAGGTTGATGAGCAATGGGTATTTTAAACAATACACGAAAAATATAATTTCAAAGAATTCTGTTTCATTTTTAAAATATTTGTTTGTAAGCGTTTGAAAAATGAAAATTTCTGTAAATTTCAAAATAAATCTGTAAGTTTTAAAATTACAATTTCCACGTTTTTCAAAATTCCGAAATTAAAACTAAACTTATGAATCAAATTTTTGTTCATTATACCGTCAAATATGTAATAGAAGATCCGTCTAACTTTTAATTTTGATCCCATCTATTTCCATATCCTGCCATAGATATCAGAAAGCTGTCAAATGATAAATTGTTCATCATAATGTCAAAATTGGTTTATGATATCTTGCATGGTAGCCGAAACAATTGGCTCAAATTTGGGGACCCTTCTTTTACAGGTTTTACGGTAGTGTTGACTATTTAGAGTGTAAAATATTAATTTATTTTTACTTAGCCAATTTCAGGGTTAATGTAGTCCTCAAAAAATTTTAGCATTAAAGTTCAATTTCTAAATTTAGATTGCACTTCTGTACTTCCCTTCAGTATCAAATCGCATCAATTGTCAGTTTTGTTTCAGATTCAATCTCCTTCCACGTTTTGCCTTTTTCTTCTCTTCCGATTGTTTCTGCTCCACACACACCCAATCAAAATTTTGTTATCTTAAGAAAATATTGACGCCGATTAAGAAGGCTTGGTGCGGAGCAGAAGATGCTTTATCAGCGACCACGCTACTGATTGATTGCTTCATTATTTCACGCCCATGTGATTTTTAGTGGCACACTGCCTCTAATTGTGATTAAATTCGAAGACACAGGAAGGAAAATAAAAAAACTTAGGGGGGTTTTTTTTGAATTTCAGATGTTTTCTTTCAGGTTTTTTGTTGATGTTAGGGCTGCTGCCATGACAAGGTCTTGTACGGGATGAAAGGCAAAAGAAAACAAAACAAAATAACGACGAAAAACGATTGTGCTTCAGAAGTGAATCATCGAATGCCGTTGCGTGAATCACTTTTCGTTTTTTTTTCGGTGATGCCTTCAATGTTTCATTTTTCTAGAGAGAGGCGTCATTCGTCATTTTTGTAATGAATCCTGATAGCTTCTGTACAGAGTATGTGTTTATCAACAGTATGAGTTTATTAAAATAGTCATTCCAGCTTCAAAAATCAAATGCAACCGAGTTCTGGGAGACGACTCTCAACAGTAAGTTTATTTTATCATCTTGGTTGAATTGATAACATAGTACATGTTCCAGAGCTGGGATAATGAGGTCAAAGCGGCGGCAAAATTAGCTGTTCCACGAGTTGACCAGCGACGTAACTCAAATACAGTAAGATTTAATTGAAACGTATTATATAATTTTTGAATTTAGCTTGCCCAATTACTGGAGTGCCACCGTCAGCTATCGCTTCACGATCAATCCTTTGAAGATGAAGATGTAGGTTCAAAAAATAAATATGAGCGAATCTTTTTCATTCAAGGACGCCGCAACTCTACGTGTTCCATCTCGTCGTGCTTCTGTCGGATCAAGAAGACCATCTGTTGCGGAAATGCTGATTGATAGTGGTGTGGCGAATAAAACTACGGACGACTGTGTCATGGTAGCTTTACACAGATATCTAAAGCTATAATGAGAACTTTCAGGTTCAACAAACTTTGGGAACATCTACTACATTATTCTTCCAGAAGAATCCTTTGGTGGATAACTTGGATTTGAGACCATCACCTTTTGAGCGGGGATTATACAATGTGAGCTATAGAATGTGACCAGAAAACATATTACAATTATTTTTGAATCTTAATATCCATCCCCGTTCTCTATTCTGCAATTTCAGTTCGATGATTCCATCAAAGAAATGCCACCACTCAAATATGTTGGAACTCCACGTCCTTCAATCCAGATGACTACATCTCCAAGACCATCATTATTGGCTAAAAGTAGTCCATCAATCGACGAATCTGATGAAGAACAAACCCCTACTCTTGCAAACCACGTTCTCCGTCCAACAATTGGAGAACGTGGGCTACCAGCGGTAATTTTTTCATCCCTCTCAGTATTTTGTTCCTTTTTTGTTTCCACATTTTGCACTTCCAACTTTTAGTTCCCCTTTTTTCCCACTATTGCCCTTTTTGCCTATCCAGATGAAGTTCACACCAGTGCTCGCCAACGGCCAGTTGCAACCGAGAGGACGTACACTTCACAAGGTAATGGACCCTCTTTTTTTCTTTCCTCTTCTAAAGACACACTCGTGCATTTTTTGGCAGTGTGAGAACGTTTCAACGTCTTCTTTTTCCCCATTCTTTTAACTTTACATATTTTAGCAACCGCGCGCCGATCCTCGCTTCGACTTCGAACTCGATGTATGTTTCCTATAGTACTTTGGTTTATTTGGAATAAAACAATCTTTTTCAGAAAATCATTGCTAATAGAAGAAGAATAGTCGACGAGGAAGAAACTAGAAGAGAGCGAGAGAACCATATTCGGCCGAGAAGTCAGAGTGAGCAATAGAGAAACGAAACCGGAAAAAAACGTATATAAGTTCCAAGTTTCCAGCAACTTCTTCCATACACCATCGCCCTCACAACTTTGACGGTCGTGGACCATACCAAGTGAAAGCTGGAAACGTAATGGAGGTAACCAACCATTCAGTCTTTTACTATTTTGAATATCGTATCAAATTAGGAACTTCGCACCCAAATGGAAAGTGGAGAAGTGGATCGCATAGTTAAAGAAAAGAAGACGACAACGGTGACCGAGACACGCGAGATAGTTTATTTCACGCATCGCTTACCTTCTTCTATTGCTATCTCCACTAGAGTATCAGGCTTTTGCTTTCTTCTTTTTTGCCGATTAAAAAATATTTCTGTAACTGAATTGATGAAATTTCAGCTCTCTCCAACTGGAGTTCCTGTTCAAAATCCGAATCGAAGATCTATCACAGTTGAAGGATCGCTGTAAGATCATATAACAAAAGAAATCAAAACAGTAAATTTCAGACCAGAGCTCTTGGATAGACCATATGTTCGTGCAAGTCCAAGGTGAGTAGGCTCCATTTTTCAAAATAATTTCATCCAAAATATTCCACCTCTTTTTTCAGCGACCAAACTCTTCCTGATGGAAAAGTAAGTTTTCCTTTTTTTTTCTCACACATGAACGGGCTTTAACTACAGACTCCAACCAAAACAGTAACCATCCGAGTCCCACCGGACCAGCCCAACCAATCGGTAACTCTCTTTTCCCCTTTCACCTAAAATTTCATTATTTTCAGAGAGGTCACTTCATCCATCGTTCGCCGACTCCTTCTCCAAATAACGTTAGGTTTTAATGTATCAAATTGTGATTGTAGATCATTTTGTTCGAGATGTTTGAAACATTAGAACAATGCCCTAATTCTTTTTTGCAGACTGCTAACGGCCGACGAGAAAAAAGCCCTTCGCCATAACGCCTCCAAGTTCGAACCGAAACCGCCAACCGATCATCCGTTAGATGATGCTGCTGATAATTGTAGACAAAGCTGACTGATACATTTTCAATATGTTTTTGTAAACTTTTTGCTTCTATTTCTGCTTCTGTAGTTTTTCTGAACAATAAACCAACAGTACTCTTGTCCGAAATCTCAATGATAACACTAACAGAACAAAGTTCTGCTACAAAATTTTCTTATCATTGATCAGCTACTGATTGAATTAGTTTCTATCTCCCTCAGGAATAATAAAGGCGAACTAAATCTTGGGATCGCAAGTTAGAAGTGGCTGTCTTCATTGTCATAAAGTGATTTTGATGTGGCCAGTTATCCTAATTCTCGTTGTTTTGTCAGTTGGTTTCTCCATCGCATGCCTACCAACTCAAACAGTAGGTGAGTTCTAGTCATTTTTTTTCAGTGAAATTCGCAACATTCTAGAAACCATATTAATTGATTTCCATATTTTCTATTTTTCCACCCATTTTCAGTAAATTCACTGTAAAAACTCTCTCATCTTGAAGGGACTCATACAGGTTTTATGAGATTATTTTTCAGTTACTACTACAACAACTGCTGCACCATACCGTAAGTTCCAACAGATTTTACTAAAATTTTATTTTATTTTATTTTTAGCGTGTTCGGTATGCCCCATGATTTACGGATCTGGTTGTTTGGGTGGTGCAACTGATGTGTGTGCTACAGTAGCTGAAGTCGGATTGAGCTATACTTTGGGAGTAATAGCTGGATATGGGTTTGGTGATTCCAATACTTGTTCGTGAGTTTCAGATATTTTTTGATGTCTTAATGTAATCGAAGCTATGTGTTATTTTCCAGAACAATTTTCTCTTGCCCATTGGGAACAACATCACAAGTTAAATTGCCAATTACTGGAACAATTCTACCCGGACCTTCACTAGTTATTGCTTGGTGTCAAGAGACGGGGACGAATGCTGGGACTTGGTACTATGGAATTCCACCACTAAGTACCCCAGTGGAAATTGTGGCTACACAGTGTCAAGGAATAGTTTCGGGATGACAGTACTTGACTATTTTATAATAATAGTAGTAATAATAATAATGTAAATTTAATAATTTGATTTTCATATGAAAACTGATAATATGGCTAAAAACGCACACTTTGAAATAAAAAAATGGTAGATCAAACCTTTTCCCTCGATTTTCTTTCAATTTTTCAAAATTTGCTTTCACACAAAAATAATTAAATTAATTATTTAGAAAAGACTTCCGAAATCTTTTTTCAGAAGACACTTTAGTGAAAAATACCGTTCATTAAGCTTCTCGATGATTCAAACTAGATCTGGGAGGAGTTTCTCTCACGGGAAGAACTTCAAGAGGGCAATCTTATCATCAAACATTATTTGGCCAAGGAAAATATCTAATGTTGCGTGTTTCTTTATTGATTTTCGTTTGGATCAATCCACTAAACGGATGTATACCAACACAAAATGTGGATTGTAAGTTATACCGCTAGTAATTTAAAAAAAAAACGAAAATAAAGTTTTTAGCAAATGGAGGCACTCCGGGAAGTCCTGGCGCTCCTGGAACAGCTACAACTACAACTACAACAACTACTACAGTCGCCACCACCACTACTACTGTAACCGAAGCACCATTTCGTAAGACTTCATATTCAGGAAATAATTCTAAAAATGTCAATTTAAGCGTGCAACGTTTGTCAGAAAGTTTACGACAATACTTGTCAAGGGTTTGGTATTCCTAATCTTCTTCAATGGTGTCCTACAGCAGCTGAGGCGGCGATTGAGTACACACTTGGATTCCTTCAAACTGTTTTTCCAATTATTCCTGCAAACTCCTGCGCGTAAGAAAAAAAAAGAAATGCTACTGTATGAGGAATATTATTTTTCAGAACTGTCATCACGTGTCCGTTGACAACAGCTCTAAGGATCAAAATATTAGGCGCAGAAATTCCCGCTCCTGTACTTTATGCTTGGTGTGAAGAATCGGGTCCGAGAGCTGGTAAATGGTACACTGGAGCTACAGTGTTGCTGAGTGTGGAGCTCGTTTCACTGGCATGCCGACCGATAATTTGAAAAATTGAACTCCCGTAAAATGGAAACTAGTACTGTACAATAGTCTTAACTGGATTACTGAGCTTTAAACTGTTTTAATAATAATGAATTTAATAAATTCTTATATCATAATTTTTTCTTTTTGAATAAACTTTTTAAAACAAAACTTTTGATCAAACCAGCTACTAATTTATTTGTTTCATAGAACGGTGACACGTGAAAAAAATTTTATTTTACAAAAAGTGAACGATTTTATGAGCAATAGACCAATAAAACAGCTGTCACATTCAAAAAAAAACATACACACAAAAATTAGTTCGATTTTTCCACCTAAACACGCTCTAGTCAACGGGACCTGTTTCGATTTTTGAAGAATCATTGCACTTGCCAACAAAAACTGGACAAGACGTGGCTGGCAATTCGAGAACTGGCGCAAATTTCCGAGACAAAAATACGGGTGATTTTGTAGTCTGTGACGAGATCGTAATCGCTAAATTAAGCAATACTCAATGAAACAAGATCAGTTCCAATTGGATCATCCGGGAGAACTAATAAAAATGACTTGATAATTATGAGACTCTGTTTTTGGAAATAGGAAGTGGAGTTGAATTTAGGAATTTAATTTTTTAGCGATTCAATTAGTTGCGACTTGCGTATAAGATTAATAAGAAGAAAATCTTAAATAAAATTCAAAACTAGAGAATCTTGAAAGTTGCGAACTTTCCACCGCTCTACGATGAGCAACAAGAAGCCATCAATAAAACAACTGTTTGTTCGATACATCACTTTTATTTTCTCATATCAAAAGAGAAAAGATAGAAAATGTTCATCTCGACGCCTTCGGGATTTGACCTCCTAATGAACTATAGTGCTATATCAGAAACTTCTCATCTTTTCTTGTCAACCAAGGAAAATTGTCATTATCATTTTATTTCCCTCGGGTCATTGGGCTTATAAAGGCGAAATCAGTTCCTGCAAACCGACACTATCAAACCATGTTCTGCCAATTAACTGTTGTCTTTTGTAGTCTTTTAGTTATTATTTATGCTTGCATACCTACTCAAAATGTGGACTGTAAGATCCCCTTCCTATTAAATAGATGTTCAAAGAAGGGTTACAGCAACAGCGACAACTACAACATCTACAACTACGGTGGCTACTACGACGACTACAGTAACAGAAGCACCATTTCGTGAGTTGTTTTTTTTTCATTCAAACCATTTATCCCTGTCTTTATTTTAGCTTGTAACGTGTGTCAAAAAGTATATGATCCTGCTTGCCAAGGATTCGGTATTCCAACTCTTCTCACTGGATGTCCAACTGCTGCTGAAGCCGGAATCACATATTTACTTAATGCTGTCATTGCTCTATTTCCATTCGTCCCTGCAAACTCTTGCAGGTGATACCCAAATCTACAGTAGCGGTCGAAAAACAATACAAAAACATATTTTTCAATAGATTCTCGGCTATTTTGGCGATTTTCAGGAGGGTGGAGCTTGTTTGCCAACTTTCCGATCACTTTGAAAACGTTGGAGGGTCTAAAGCAAATCTAGATTGAGAACTTTGCATTCGCTGAAATTTTCGAAAATTTCTGAACGACACCCCTTTTTTGGCCCGTTTTTGTACTGGAAACGGAAAAAAACAGGTTCCTTCAGAAATCGGCAAATATATGAAAAACTAGGATCTTTCAAACAATTCTGTGAATGCAAAGTTTTTAAACAAGGTATGTTTTAGACCCACCAAAAATTTCAAAGTGACTTGACAGTAGAGCTCCAGACTCATAAAAATGGTCGAAGTGTCCGAAAATCAACTGAAAAAATGTTTTTGTATCCTTTATTTTTTGACCAGTACTGCATATTTTCCCGATGCTTTTTCGCAGTCAGAAAACTATTTTTTTTCTGCTCAGCCTCACTAGTCAGAAAAATAATAAAAATATATCTAATAAAAAACATATTAATTTATGTTTGTTGTACTTATTAATAAATGTTGTGCTTCATATGAGCGTGATTAAAATTTTAAAAATATTCGTTGAAATGTAATTGATGTTCCTCTTCCCTACGGTTTTAACAACCCAATGAAGTTAATCAAATCTCGGTCTTGTCAATTATTTCCGTCAATTCAAACTCATCGAATTACGTGAACCACAAAAACGTCTTACGTGATTCCAATTTGCGTTTGCCATTCCTGTTTGTACGTTGATGTTGGCAGCGGTAGAAAAAACTTCTTATCATCGACGAGATTTGAGAAATCTGGACTTTTTCCCGTACAGAGATCAAGCGTGTTATAAAATTGAGCGACGATGTTGCAACGAGTGGCCATTCGATTGTGTCATCGACATACAACACCGGTCTGAATATGCGATTTTGTGTTGGCATGCTTGTGATGAGTTGGCTCAAAGTTTTGGATACTTGTATTCCTACACAGTTTGTGAATAATGGTGAGTAATTGATTTTCGAGTTTTTTTGAATTTCGTTCAATTTTAATTTAATCAATATCATTAAAAAACAAAACTTTAATTTTTAATCGTGGCTTCCAAAAAAAAACATACAGAAATCATTTGTTGAGTAGTGTATTAATGTCAAACTTTTTATTTAAAAACTTCATGAACTTTATTGGTGCTTTCTAAAAAGTTAAAATCATAATTCCTGTAATAGAAGGGTCCCTAATTTTTAATGTTGAGCCAATTCATTACGGTTAATATCTAAGGTATAAAACAGCTGATGAGTGGTTCATCTAATATCGCAAACTATTTATCAGTTGACTTTTTTTTGAATATCTGGCCAGGAACCACAAAAATGGAACCATGTGAGTACCCTTCTATTACATTTTTTTGCGGTATGGTCTATAATATCGGTATGACTTTTTCTAACAGTTCAACAACATTATTGTTAACTGAAATACTAAAACCAAGTTATATTATATTGCCTGTTTCTAATTAAAGAAAAATAAATTTGAGATGCCTAAAGCAAAATCAGATTTTTGATTTTGATGTAGCAAAAATTTCAGGACCACCAAACAAATTTAGAGAAAATGCATTATTCCCGATACCTGTTTTCAGATGGCTCATTGGGCTCCAGATCAACAACGTTAGCACCTGGAGCAACAACGACTACGATACCTGGATCAGGATCAGGTATGTCAACAACAACTACTACAACCGGTAAGGCATTTGCGAACTTTTTTGCTATCTCTCAATCCGAAAAACCGCCGCCTTTATCTTAGAAAATTCGTTCTTTTGACTCAATAATAGATCATATCCATTGCTTATCGTCTAGCAAAAAAAATCATACGCGATTCATTAGGATGGCGAACCCAAAATCTGACATAATTTGAGATAAGATAAAACTTTTTTCTCAAAATTGTGTCAGCGAAAAACCGAAATTATGTCGCCTAAACAGGAAGTATGTCTCGTCGTACTCAATTGGAACATCCCGACTTCTATCAACGTTCTATAAAGAATGGAAAAATGGTGAGAAACAAATCGTGAAAACTGATCTATTGATCTTTTATCTTTTTGGAGAATTATGCTATTGGTTTCAGACGGGTTACTTATTTCCTTTGAAAAAACAATGTTGACTTCGGGTTAAATTATTTTATTTAGTATAAAATATACTTAGGAGAAGTAAACTTATGAAGCATTAAAATGATTGAAAGCAAGGTGCAAATGCATATAAAGAAAGCGTTTTGGCAGAGAAATGGAGAATTCAAAAAAGATAAGCGAATGCTATAATCACTGTATTAGGTAGTCATAACTTGTAAATATTACAGAACTCTTCGAACGATTAAAATTAAATTTTTCTCTTGTTCAGGCACAACAAGCTCCAGCACCACAACAACCACTACAACAATGTCGACAACTACCACTACTGTCACCGAATTTCCATTCCGTAAGATTGTGTCGCCTGAAAAAAAGGCACTACTTATTTTTCAGCGTGCAACAATTGTCCTAAAGTCTATGACAATACGTGTCAAGGGTTTGGCATTCCTAATCTTCTTCAATGGTGTCCTACAGCAGCTGAGGCCGCAATTGAGTACACACTCGGTCTTATCACTTCCATTTTTCCTTTTATTCCCTCAGATTCTTGCGGGTAAGTTCAAATTTTCTCTAACATTTTACTATAAACTCGGTTATTCAGAACTATAATTACTTGCCCACTCACTACAGCTCTAAGGATCAAAATATTAGGCGCAGAAATTCCCGCGCCAGTGTTTTATGCTTGGTGTGAAGAATCGGGTCCGAGAGTTGGAAAATGGTACACAGGAACTTTTTTGACGCCAATTGAGCTTGTTTCACTAGCCTGCAAGCCTCTTATACCTGGATGATAACGGAACATACAATTGCAGTTAATTTTGTACAAATATTCAATGTAATAATAAGTTTTTGTAACTCGCCGTAATAATGAAATTAAACCTAATAAATTATTTCGTGTCACGCTTAACAGAGTTTTTCAAATTGAGTAAAATTAATTTTGAAAACGCAAAACTTGCTGCAAACAGTTGACTATGTTTTGATGGGCAAGCAAAAGATCTCATCAAAAAGAAACATAACCATGAGAGAAAAACAAAGTAATAAATTAACTACATCATGATTACAAATGCAAAAACCATACATATCTCGTAATTGACTTCCACATTCAACTGCTTATCTCATCCAACGGATCAAGAAATGGGTTTCGATCGAGTTTATTATTCGTTGCGAATACGCGTAATGGTCTACTTTCATGACTATCATTGTCAACTAGATGGTTTGATGCGTTGGCGAGTTTCGCTGGTCTACTTTTTTCCGGTGGTGATTATCACTGAAGCATGCATACCGACTCAGCAGGTGGAAACTAGTGAGTTGTCCTGTTTCTAATTTTTTGAAAATTTATATCCAGTTGCTTTTTGCTGGCTTTGATGTAAAAAAAATGTCCTAACATGAAATTTGTTTTTTGTGACCCCTGAGGGTGACTTCAAAACATTTTTCTTGTTAAAACCGTTTTACTCACAATGTTATAAACGTTAGATTTTGATTTTTATTTTTGTGAACAGCTGTAAAAACGTCATGCAAAATGTGATCAAAAAACTGTCATGTCAAAATCGTCAAATATGTAAACTGCTTCAAACACATTTTTTCAATTTTCCATTGTATGTGGATAAATTGAATTTTTTTTTTTGAAAATCGCAACTTGATTATCTATTTTCGTTCAAAATATAATCAAAATCAAAATTTTGTTCACTAATAAAATTATTGACATAATATCAGTAACATTTTATCAGTTCGCAAATTTATGATACATTTGGAAAGAACCGAGGTAGATGAGCTTAACGTACACGTCTAGGGTAGGATTCTGTTAGAGTATTTACGGTATTTCATTTATGCTTTGTTAACAGACTACTTTTTGATATTCCTTACAGAAAACAAGAGAAGTTAGTTTAAAAAAACTGAGTGTTGGAATGACGGTCTTTTACAGATTTTACGGCATGTTTTTTCCTTGAAATTATAACGTATTTTGTGAAAACCAGCGTTTGGTAACCAGATTAAAAATATATATGTACTAAAAATTGTGCCTCACTATTGTTGCATGCTTGCACGTTTTTGTCTCAAAGTAATTGGAACATAAACCAAACGTCGCAACGTTTTAAAACCCATTAAAAATGGCCAAAAATTCGGGGGGTACAATGATTCGGGGGTACAAGGGGGTACAACTGATTTAGGGGTACAAAATTGGTTATTCGGGGGTACAAAATTCGTGGGTACAAAAATTCGGGGGTACAACGATTCGGGGGTACAATCTACCAATGATTCTGGGGTACAACTTATTTCATTTAGGGGTACAACGTTGTGATTCGGGGGTACAATTTTTTTGACGAAGTTTCTGAATTCCTGAATTTCAGAGCTTGAAAATCTCAGAATTCGGAATCTGAGATTTTCGGAACTTCCGAGTCTGAGAATCTGAAAATTTCGGAACTTCAGAATCCGAGAATCTGAGAATTTCAGAACTTCAAAATCTCAGAATTTCAGAACTTCGAATTCTTAGAATTTTAGAACTTTGGAATTCCAGAATTTGCAATCTGAGAATTCCGTAACTTCAGAATCTGAGAATGCTAAAACTTCAAAATCTCAGAACTTCAAAACTTCAAAACTTCAGGACTTCAGAATCTCAATACTTCAAGAAAGACAATGGAGAATTGTGAAATGATTTTAACAAATTTTACAAACGGATTTTAATGCCAGTCGATACTTTCCTCACTTCTAATTTTTCTCAATTATATTTCTTAATTCTTTTTCATTTCCTTTTGTTTCTCAATATTCCTTCGTTTTTTCCCAAATTTTCCGTTTTTCCCAATTTTTCTTAATTTTCCTCAATTTTCGCGGTAATTTAAAATTTTCTCATTTTTAAATGATTTTCTAGATCATTGATTGAAGGAAACAATCACAATTTAGATATTTCCCACAAAGTTCGAAAATCCCAAAAATTCGCCCAAAGTGAGCTATTTTCTATCGGAAATTGTTCGAACAGGCAATAAAACATTACAAAAATTATAAAATTAATTTTTTTCGACCAATTACCACAAACATTTGAGCAAAAATAATGAAAAACGAAGGAAAACGGAGAAAATCCCAAAAATAAAACTTGCGAGCGATGACGTCATCAGTCCATGGCCATGGCCGAACTGCGGGGTTTTCTCTTCCATGGGAAAATTTCGCGAAATTAAGATCTTTTCGCAATTCCCATTTTTCTCCGTTTTCCTTCGTTTTTCATCATTTTTGCTCAAATTTTCGTGGTAATTTATCGAAAAAAAATCAATTTTATAATTTTTGTATAGTTTTATTGCCTGTTCGAACAATTTTGGATAGAAAATAGCTCATTTTGGGCGAATTTTTGGGATTTTCAAACTTTGTGGGAAATAGCTAAATTGTGGTTGTTTTTTTCAATCAATGAAATAGAAAATTGTTTAAAAAGGAGAAAAATTTAAATTACCGCGAAAATTGAGAAAAATTGGGAAAAAGACGAAGGAATATTGAGAAACAATGGGAATTGAAATAGAATTGAAAAAACAAAGAATTGAGAAGAGAAAAATTGGCATTGAGGAAAGTATCGGCTGGGTTTTGACATTAAAAAACTGAGTTTGTAAAATTTGTCAAGTTTAGCTTATTGTCAGAAAGAACAATGTGACAATGAGAAGTGAAAAATTTCTGTCGTTCGAAATTCTCAGATACCGAAATACTGAAGTTCCAAAGTTCTGAAATTCTGAGATTCGGAAGTTCTGAAATTCTTTGATTTCAAAGTTCTAAAATTATGGATTCTTAAATTTGGAAAGTCTCAGATTCTGAAGTTCCGAAATTCTCAGATTCCGAATTCTGGAATTCTGAAGACAATGAAGAAAATTTCTGCCGTAATTATTGGAAATTCAGAAATATTGAGATTCTGAAGTTCTGAAATTTTGAAGTTCCGAAGTTCTGAGATTCTGAAATTCCAAAGTTCTGAAATTCTAAAAATTCAGAGATTTTCAAGCTCTGAAATTCAGGAATTCAGAAACTTCGTCAAAAAAAATTTTACCCCCGAATCACAAACGTTGCACCCCTAAATGAAATGAGTTGTACCCCAGAATCATTGGTAGTTTGTACCCCCGAATTTTTGTACCCACGAATTTTGTACCCCCGAATAACCAATTTTGTACCCCTAAATCAGTTGTACCCCCTTGTACCCCGAATCATTGTACCCCCCGAATTTTTTGCCATTAAAAATAGCAAAAGTTTAACTTAAATCAAGCAATGTGCCGTCTAAAAATGTTATATGTATTTCACACGTGTCTAGCTCGATTTCTGCACTAACTGCTCCAGCCACTACCACAAGTACTACTCCATCTACTACCACAGCTACAACAACTACCACGTCCACAACTACTACCACTACAGCGACAACCACAACATCAACCACGACAACCACAACGACTATGACAACAACGACTACAGTTTTAACAGAAGCTCCATTCCGTGAGTCGTACATAAATAGGCGTTCAAACAAAGAGAATTTCAGCTTGCACTGGTTGCGCAAAAATCTATGACACGGCATGCCAAGGTTTCGGAATACCTAGTATCTTCGATTGGTGTCCTCAAGCAGCCGAAGTTGGAGTCACTTATTTTTTAGGAGCAGTTGCAGCTCTTCCATTCCTACCTCAAAACTCTTGCTCGTAGGCATAAGTAAAGAATAGTAAGAAAATTCTCCATTTTAAATTACAGCACAACGATAGTCTGTCCACCAGGAACAACACCAAGGATAAATCTATTTGGGTCTTCAATACCTGCTCCGACTCCAGCTACACTGGCGTACTGTGAGGAGACGGGACCGAACGCTGGTAAATGGTACACTGGAGCTCCACCATTCAGTTTTGAGCTATCCTCTTTGACATGTCAGAATATAGCTTCCGGTTGAAATTTATGTGCATATTTCCTTAAAAAAATCATTATTAATATGTAATAAAAGTAACAAGATTAATATTAAATGTAAAATTGAGAATGAAAGTTCAAATTGTTCTCTGAAAGGTTTGTTCACACTGTAAAACCGTGTCCCTCACTATCAAGTTTGAATTCATTTTCCTCGTCTCCTTTGCAAGATATCGGGAATGTGAAAACTGATAAAATGTTTCTGATATTATGAAGAAGCCTTTATCAGTTGACAAAGTGTTAAGAAATATTCGACGAGGACCGAGATAAATTGGCTCAAAATTAAAAGTTAGGGCCCTTTCAACACAGTTTTTACGGTAACTGAGAATCAATTTATCAACTTAGCAAAATAACACAAAATGAAACAATCATGATGATAAGAAAGCGCGCGGGAGTGAAACTAAACTAAATTCGCTTCTCCTTTTTACAAGACATCGCAAATTAGGCAAAGATGACCGAATTTTCTAAGTACAGTATCTGACCTCAATAGGAAATGAAACATGAAATGTGTCTTTTAATCGCCTATTTTGTATTTCGCTTTTCTCACCTCACATTCGTTTACATACAGCGCTTTTCATTAGGTGTTATCTCAATCTACAGGTTTGAACTTTTCAAAGAAACCATTCAATTGAAATCTGAACGTATTCCAAATACGTTTGCTTCGATCTTTGTTGTTATTCTTCATCGGATACTACTAATCGGATTTCCATCTGTGTTGATCACAAGAAGTCGGTCACTTTTTGTTTCGGAGAAACAAAACAATAAAAAGGAGAAATTAAGTACACCACTTTCATCATTTTCTCTTTCACAACATCTCAATAATGAATCTCCAGATCACGATAATCACTATTTTCTTACTTGAAGTTCTTGATTCTTGCATTCCGACTCAACAAACCGAAAGTAAGAATGTTAAAATTTCGAAAAAAAAAAAAAAAGGGAGAAATTTTAGCAACAACAACAACAGCGGCACCTACAACTACGGCAACCGAACCTCCTTTCCGTAAGCCAAACTATTCTACAATTTAATTTAACTTACCGCGAAACCTGTGAGAGAAAAGCCTCCATACTGTCAACTTCGAGCTCAATTCTGTTCCTGTAAAAAATTTTTAAAAAAATGTAAACTGGCAAAACACTTCTGACATGATAAAAACAATTTGTTAGTTTACAACTTTTTAATACCTTTAAAGGGAACCAAGAAAAACTAACTTAAAGTTAACAGTTAGAGAGTTCTTCTATGACAGGTTTTAGGGTATTTCTGTTTTATCAGAGATATTTTAAAAAACTGGTCAATAAGAAATATTTTTGATTCTATTTTGAACTATTTGTTGGTGGACCAATATCTCTAAGAAAAATGGAAATAAATTTCATGAAAGAGGATAATGGTTTTTTTTTCTATGTACAGATTTTAGCAGTAGTTTGTCCTTAATACTTTCTTCTGTTTCTAAAAATTACCACTTTCAGCTTGTTCGGTTTGTCAAAAAGTTTACGACACAGCGTGCCAAGGATTCGGTGTGCCTAGCTTACTGAATTGGTGTCCCAGAGCGGCGGAAGTTGGAGTTGAATACCTCTTGGGTGCGGTCGCATTACTACCGTTACTTCCGCAAGACTTGTGCTCGTAAGTTCTACTCTGTAAAAATCAGTAAATTCCCTAATTGAACAGCATTCCCTATATACCTGTATTTTGAGCTCAATTGCAGTTCTGGTCGAAATTATCTATCAAAATGACCATTGCAGTTGAAAAACGTCACCATTGGGTGTCTGAAAAAGTACTTATTACTTGCCCGTTTGTTCTGAAAGTTCCTGGGATTATGAATCCATTGTAGAACTCTGTTTTTATAGTTGGCAACTTTTTTGTACAACCACTCGCAAACATGATCTGCGTGAAACGATTTCGAACTACGAAAAAAAATATTCATAATCGATTTATAATTCTAGAAATGTTCAGACCAAAGGGAAAATTAAGAACTTTTTTTCATATTTGGAGACTTTAGTTAGGCACTGCCTTTCTGTTTATGTAAGAGATATCGAAAAATTGTCAACTAATCTAGTTCTGTTGATGGAGTTTTATTGATTTATCAAAAAATGTATTCTTACAGCACTACCATTGTTTGTCCACCCGGAACAACACCAAGGATCAATTTATTCGGTGTACCCGATATTCCAGCACCAACTCCGGCAACTTTAGCATATTGTCAGGAGAGTGGAGCCAATGCAGGAAAATGGTACACTGGAATCCCACCTATTGTGCCCATTGAAATGACATCTTTAACTTGTAAAAATATTATTTAAATAAATCCATTTGAAATCTGTTTGGCAAAATAAAATAAACAGTATTTTAAATGTACAATTAAGTATTTTTCTTGAAACTGTTAAGTGGAAACGCAAACTAATACAAAAGGAGATAGATGACAGAAACGATAAGGAATCTAAAATCAGTTCTCCTTTTATATCTTCTCCTCTCAAGTACAAAAAAATGACTTTAGGGATTGATTTATTTATGCACTAGATTGATAAGATTAACGTAAGTTTTGACGCGTTCAAAAAACCGTGTTCAATTGTGAAATCTGGAATAAAAGTCCAAAATTTTCCAAAGAAAATTGAGAATCAGCCTGGAATAATCAAGTCAACATTTGTAATCTCGAAATGAGAAAGTTTGAACCCAGTTTTGTTTTGTTCATGTTCATTCCCGATCGTGATCAGAACATTCTCATATCGTTTAAGTGCTGATCATCACGATAAGTCGGTCTTTTTTTTCTACAATCAACGGGTTGTATAAATACAGAAATGAAGTACAAGACTATCTTTTGATTCTTGATTTCTCACAAAATGTACCTCCCAGTCCAGATCTTAATTTTCTATTTCCTTGAATTGTGTTACGCGTGTATTCCTACGCAACAAGTTGAACGTAAGTTCACAGAATTCATCAGATTCGGCACTTCAAAATTTCAGCAACAACAACTACTACTCCAGTACCCGCAACTACAGCTACAGAATCTCCATTCCGTGAGTACACCTAGTTTTTATTAGCCAAATCGCTGACGTTTCAGCTTGCTCGGTTTGTCAAAAGGTTTACGATCCGGCTTGCCAAGGTTTTGGAATACCTAGTTTACTGAACTGGTGCCCAAAGGCAGCAGAAGTTGGAGTCGAATACCTATTAGGAGCAGTTGCTGCTCTACCGTTTCTTCTGCAAGAGTCGTGCTCGTTAGTTTGTAGTTTTATCTTTTATTTTTGAAAATTTTATTTTAGAACAACTATAATTTGTCCACCTGGAACGACACCAAGGATCAATTTATTCGGTTTCACTGATATTGCAGCTCCGACTCCAGCTACTTTGGCATATTGTCGAGAGACTGGACCGATGGCGGGAGAATGGTTCACAGGAATCCCACCTTTTGAAATCAAAATGGCTTCATCAACTTGTAAAAATATTATATGAAGAAACGCCTTTAATGATAAACTGTTCTCAATAGACTTGTTGATAAATGATAAAAGGAGAACATCAATGAGAATATCTCTTGATCAAACTTTCAAAAACTGATGAAACAAAGATGTACAAAAGAAGATATGATAATGTGGATCATAAAACCAAAATACGTTTTGATATCATCTTCTTCCGTACCTAGGCAAAAAATCATCTCATTAACCTCGTATAATCTTTTAAAATGCAACGGCAAAATCATGATATCTCTTATCGCACAAAAGCAAAAGAAGGAAGTAATTTTGAACATTTTTGGAAAGCTACGTGGATAGTATAACAATGTTTTGAAACAGTTGGCACATTATCAAAAGAGTTTGTAAGGATCACTGGAGTTCCGCTCATAATAGTTAGTGAAAAAATTATCTGTATGGACCTAAAAAAAATGAAGAAAGTGTTCAAATGAAGTTTTGACTTCTAAACATGCAGAACTGTAACTACCCATATACTTTTCTATCTAGTTCGAAGGAGCTGAATTTGTATATATCCCATTACATCCACTATCATGAGACTTCCTGGAGAAATTTTTTCTCTCTCTAATCTCAAAGCAAAATGACCTTTGAAATTCGTTCATCAATACACACTTCACCAAGTTCAAATCCGTGATCTGTGCTTGAGTCTTTGTACAGGAAATCGTATTCTATCTCTTTTTTGTGCTGATAAGTCGGTCAGTTTTTTGCAGTGCAACACAGAGATATAAATAAGAAACCTTATAGTGCGAGACTGATCTGATTTCTTGAACTTTTTCAAATGTATTCTCAAATTATCATCATTACAATATCGTTAATCAAAGTTTGTCGTTTTTGTATTCCTACACAGCAAGTTGATTGTAAGTGAGATTCTCCTTATTTTATAAAGAACATTCATATTCAGCAAATAGTCGAACCAATCCCAATGGAGGTGGTGGAACCAATGGCGGTGGGGGTAAGTGAGATTAATTGAATATTTGTACTATTCAAAAGTTTTGAAGCACTCACAACAGCGGCAACCACAACTACAGTGGCAACAACAACCGTAACAGAACCACCATTCCGTAAGTTTTCAAACTGAATTTGAAGCAAACTGTTGGATGTTTCAGCTTGCAACAATTGTCCCAAAATTTATGATACCACATGTCAAGGTTTCGGTATTCCTAATTGGTACCAGTGGTGTCCTACAGCCGCAGAAGTTGGAATTGAATACACTCTGGGGCTGATTACTACACTTTTCCCATTTATCCCTCTTGGATCTTGTGGGTGAGCGAATTCGAGAAGTTTTCCAAGTATTATTACAATTATTTTAGTACGGTCATCACATGTCCACTAACGACAGCATTGAGGATTAAATTATTCAATAGGGAAATTCCTGCCCCAGTATTTTACGCCTGGTGTGAGGAAAGTGGCTCAAATGCAGGGATATGGTACACAGGAACTTCCCTTTTACCATTGGAACTTGTTTCTCTTGCTTGCAAACCGATTTTGTAGCTGGAAGGATAGTTAGGTGCTTTTCATCGGGTTTTTTTTTTAAATTTCTAGAGTACAATCGTTTTTATTTGTTCCCATTTTGTTTATTTTTCTCTAATGATGAGACAAATGAATAGTTTTAAAGATTGTCGAGCTTTTAGAATACATAAACCTTCACAACTCGAAATGTTCTATTTATAATTCTGGACAAAAATATATCATATTTGACTTTTTGAATGGAAAAGTGTCAACTCTGTCGTTCTGTAACAGTGGTCCAGAGTTTTTGAATTGTTCTGAAAATTTCAGAGTTTTCTAAGGAAAATTAGAGGTTTGTTTTGATTAGTTTTTAACTTACTCATCAAATTTCATTCTGATGAGACATGCTCTAATAGACAAATGTGCCAAAAATGTCAAAGAAATAAGAAATGAGCCACTCTAAAACGTCTTATCTAGCTCAGTTGGGGTTGTACGAAAAAAGTTATCAATTACAAAAATTGAAATTTTTATTTTTAAAAAGTTATCTGATTAACTTCATAAAGAAGCTAGGATTTTAACGGCTTAGCGGAATACTAGAAGTTCCGTGCTGCTACTGGCCAAACTACACGCCAAAAAAATCAGCTAACGACAGATGATGTAAAGGAAAGCGGAGCGATATTTGCACTTTTAAACAGAATCTGAAATTCTCTTGTCCCTGTTTCTCTGAAACATCAAAATCCATAAAAATGGATCTTCCATTCACCGAAATGTTTAGTCCTCGTCGTCTTCATGCTCTTTGTCCTTTATTTTACAACAGATGGAAGAGTTTTGTTAGCACTATTCTCAGTGGCTGATCGAACGTTTTTTTTCTATTTGAGTCCCCACCACACAGTTGTTCTAACAACTGTCGAAAAAAATCACAAGAAAAATGCTGTGAAGCAATGGGTGCCACAAAGTTTCCAAGTTTATTCTGCCCCTCAAAATTTCGAGTTCTGAACGGAGGATCTACCAGCAAGATAAAAACAATCGATGGCATTCATTGCCACACCCCACAACTGCCTCTTCGCTGTTTGTACGCGATAAGAAAAGGTACATTTCGAACCATCACATCCCCTTGCCCGCACTGTCTGTCTCTCACAGTGCCCCCATCGGTTTGTGTCGTCTGTCCGTGCCGTTCTTCTATGCCGTGTCTCTCTTCATCATTGCCCTTATCGATTTATTCATCTCTGAATTGAATGCTGACCCTTGTGAGCGTGTGTGTGAGTATATGTGTTGCTCAACATTGTGTGTCTTCTCCATTCCAGTGCGTCCCCTCACCTAGCCTGCTGTTGGCTAGCTGGGGCCTTTTCCATCCTCGTCGTCATTGTCGCACTCTTACGCACGTCGTACATTCGTTCTCTGCAAGCCCTTTTTTCATTGATTTTACATTTAGAGTGAAGGTTCTTGTGCCCTATTTAATGAAGGTTCTTGTGCCCTATTTATCATTTTGTCTAATAAAAAAGCGATTGATTTTACTGATTCAGGCTAAGCTTTCTGTACAACCCAGCCATTTTCGAACGTTTTTCAAAATGAAGCAAACACTAAAAACTGTGATAGAAATAGATTCGAAAATTCGTTCGAATTGAATGAGCTCGTTCAAATTTGCTATTAAAAACCTACAAACCAAAAGCAAAACTCGATTTGCAATGAATTTAGTAAAAATTAAGCGGCAAAACCAATAATTTTACATTTTCTACGACAATATTCTGTTCTACGAAACCTCCCCAAAATGTTTTTTTTCTATTCACTCAACCCCACTATTCTTTGAAAACCCATTTTGCGCCTTTTTTTCCATCTAAAAACGTGAAAACCCTATTTTGCAAGTAGGGCACACGTTTTTTGCAAAGTGCGGCGCACTTTCGTTCCCTGCCAACAGCGTTCCCCCTGCGAAAAACAAGAGACTCAGGGATGGCTGGTGGCCGTGGCCTAGAGTTATCGTGTAGCGGGAATCCCCTTTTGAATTATTTGGCCTATAATGCTCATAAATTTTCTATGTTTTCGGTCGCTAAAGTATTTTAAAATAAGGTTTCTTTCACGGAAATTTATGAAATGCCAATTTATTTCAAGAAAATAGAATTGTTTTTAGCGCTTTCCTGAAACAGCGAAAACGTCGAAAATCGATAATTTCCTTTTTTGTTACGTTCAGCTTTTTGAATTCGACTAAAATTAACATTTTTCCCTATAATCATGTTTCCCGTCTCATTCTAATCGATTTTTCACAATATTTTTTTCAGAGATGACAAAATGCTTCTACGCCGAATGCCCCAGCGATCACACTGTCAACTTTCCTGCTGTACCTATAAGTAGTGAGTCTGTCGTAAGGGTTTTGTGAGTTATTCTCATACTTTCAGCGGTTGAAAAGCTTCGTGCTCAAAATGCCAAAAGAGAGCAAGCTCTCAAGTCGAAAAAGGAGAAGAAGAAAGGAAAAGAACCTGTGAAAGCCAATGAAGAGAATAGTTGTTACGTTGAAGTGATCAATTGGGGGAAATCTGGCGGAAGAGTGATTGGCAACAAGGTATGAATCTTGGATTTGTGTCCATTATAAAAACCACCGGGTTTCAGAGAAAATGGACTCTCGAAGTCGAGAGAAGAGCATTCACTTGCAACTTTGCCAATGTGGACGATGATTTTATCTTGAATAACAATGCAGATTTTTTCTATTATGACATGAACGACCAGAATGGCAAGAAAGATAAGGGTGACGAAATCGAACAAGTCAAATATCCCTCCCTCATGAATTATTTGGTGAGTTGTATGGGGCGTCAAGCAATATTCTCTAAAACAATCAGATTTCTTGATTTTCTTCATCTAAATCTTCAAGCTTGTAGAAAAGTGATAAAATTGAGTCTCATGGTATAGCCGCTTTAGTGAACTGGTTGGGAGAGATCTTTCAATAATAAGATATTCAAAACTATAAGTTGACAATTTTCAGAAAGGTAGATCAATCGATTATGTTGTTGTCCGTGCATACGAGGTGCAATTTGAAGATATATCAGTGCTGCGCATATTTTTTGATGATATGCAGACCGTTTTGCCATTGATGATTGAGATGGAGAATGTTAAAAACGGTTCATATGTCGAAGGTTCGTTTCATATTATTTATTTTTGCAGTCTCGATTTTCAGGAGGGGTTTCGAATGTCGTTGAATGCATCCGTGACCACAACAACCACGACAGTGCGACGTTCCCATTCGAAAGGTTTTTGGAATTGCTAGTTATTCAAAAAGCCCAGTGCAAAACAGTTATGGTGAGAAAGATGAACGATGAGTCGTTTGAAATGTATTGTTTTCAGATTGTTCCTGATGCGATTCAGAAGCTGACGTCTTACTACGCTCTCATTCAGCCTCTCACCGTCGTTTCAACCATGGTCAAGGATGGAACCCTGCTGCACATCGGACAGGCGTTTCTATTCATCTGTCTTAACGTGATTTGTGGTATTGATTGGGAAAAAATGCAACACGAGAAACTGTACGAAAGTTTCGAATCCAACGTTGGTTATGTTTTTGATGTGCTCATAGAGAAGGTCATCGGTGAAAAAACAATTCAGACAGAGGAAATGGTAAGAACAGTTTTGTATATTTTGATGGCATAAAACTAAATAGTGTGGTGGAAGAAAAGCTCATGAACGAGAGTTCCTGATGAGAAACTAACGTCACCTGAAAATGAGTTTTTATTTCCAGCTTTTTCACTCCATTTTCACGGATTTTTTTCATTTTCCCCTCAAACAAGTATGAAATAACGTTCCTTCGCTGTGAAAAAAAGACCCGAAAGTGGACGCAAACGAAAAAAAAATCGGAAAATGACAATGTTCTCAGGATAAGGGTAGTTTTTTCTCTGGAACTACCGAACCGACCAGTTGCATTTTTCTTCCACCGTGCCGATTTTTCGTGCCAATATAATACTGAATTTTTGATAGCAGTACTATCAACGTTAATTTTTTAGGTATACGAGTTTGTCGACGAGTTCAGGATTGCCCTTGTCGCTGACCATCTCAGAAAACAGCCACTTCTTGAAAACGTCAAAAAAGATGATTGTTTATACGAGAGTTTTGCATATGACGCAAAAATTTCTTTCGAAGAACACAAGCAGCACTCCGCTCGTCTTGGATTGACCAACTTTATCGAGACAGCATCCAATGTTATTCCGGTGTGGCAAGCAAGAATTTCGGTGATCGCCGGATACTTTGCAAACTTTTTGAAGTTTTCTCCAATGTACGAAGTTATAGTGCTCAAACTCGTTAGAAGTGCTCTGTATTATAAAATGCCACTCGAGGAGAGAAATAAACACGCCGGAATGCTGGTGAGTTGAGAATTTTTGAACAGGACTTCGGATTGATCATGTACAAACCGGGATAAAAAAGAAACATCTTTGATAGCTAAAAAGTCTTGGATTTATAAAAAATCAATTTGCTCCCGTAGTTCAGAAGCGTTGGATTGTTTCTTAAAAGAAAAGAACGTTTAAATAGGGTTTGCCGGTTTTCACCCCTGGAAATAAATGTGTTCGCGTTTTTTCTACCAATTTGTATTTTATTACAGGATAGAATCTTCTACGATTGGCTCGAATGCATTGGACACGGAGGTCGCTCTCGTGAATCGTTGAAATCCAGTCTTGCGTTCCCTTACCTTGGAAGCATTCTCAAAGAAGAAAAATACAGACGACCGGCTAAAGACAATGCACCCGGAGCAAGTGGTCTTGCTGGTCCATGCTCTTCTGAACAGCAACAAGATGAATCGGCAGCAGAGGCTGTGGATAATTCGAAAGCTGGTACCTCAGATCAATCTTTGAAGTTAGAAATCGTTGTTGACGGATCGAAAGATAAGGAAACAGAGGAGTCAGAAATCCAACTATGCTTGAGATTAATGAATCAGTTGGATAATGCGAGAAAAGACAAAGCTGAAAAAGACGAAAAGAAGCCTTTGGAGTCGGAGTACACCAAAATGTTTAACGAGATAAGAGGAACTAATGAACGATTTGAGAAACTGAATTCCAGTCTCAGAGCGAAAGATGAGGAACTCAACAGGTTAGTTTTCAAGTTTTCCTAGCCATGCAATTGGATCCGGGCAAACTAGAATTCTCAAAATTTTAGGGAAATGAAAAAACGGAAGGATTTGGAAACAAAAGTGCATAACTTGGAAAAGTTAAAAAAAGAGGGAAAGGAAACATATAAGAAGCAACGTCTGAGCCTTGAGGAGAAGTATCGTGCGCTTGAGCTTCAAAGTCAAAAGTTGGTGTTATTTTACAATTATTCTAATTTTAAATTCAATTTTTGCAGGGATAAAGCCGATTTCGATAAAAAGCTCAAAGCGAAGGAAGCTGAATTATTATCGGAATCAAAAGCAGCAAAAGCAGCGAAGCAGCAGGCAAAACAACTGCAAGAACAGCTCAATAGCTCGAAAATTTTGGAAACGAAAATGCGTCAAATGGAGAAGATTAGAAAGGAGGAAAAAGAAGAATTTGAAAAGCGACGCGTGAGCATGGAAGAGAAGTATTCGAAGCTTGAGCTGCAAAGTCAAAAGTTTGTGTCATTTCACTATTCATTTGATTTCAAATTCAATTTTTGCAGGGAAAAAACCGACTTCGAAGGAAGGTTCAAAGCAATGGAAAATGCGTATTTGTTAGGAGCGAAAGCAACAGAACAGGCAAAGAAGCATGCAGCAGAAACGCGAGATCAGCTCACTTTTCTCGCAACTGATATTCAGCAACAATTGGAGACTAAAATGAACCGGATCATTTCAGTCGAGGTTGAATTGCAGCAGTGAGTTTTTAATCTGAAGAATTCTGAGAACAAATATTCTCAAATTGCAGGCTGAAGACAGAAAAGGACCAGATTTTGAAAGGCAGGGAAATGATTGTTGTAGAGAGTCGGGAGATGATCAAACAGCTAGATTTGTACAAAAACCGATGTGCTGCTCTTGAGAAACAAAATGAGAAGTAAGTATATCGTTGGAAGAAAATTTTCAAAACATATTTAATGAATGTTTAGCGAGGTTCAAAAGCGCCAAAACATTGAGCATGAGAAGAAATCCCTTGAGGTAAAGCTGCAAGATCAACAGAAACTGTGAGTTAAAACACTGGAAATCTGAACTATTTTCAAAATGTCAGCTACAATCTCTGCTTGTCGAGTATGGACCAAAGAGGGGGACTTTTCGCTGATCCTTCACCTTCCACCGCATCCCATCCTCAAAATCTTGAAATTTCATCCAACGACACTCAACAAGTTCTGAGACAAAGTGTTGAAGCTAATGAGCTGTATTGCTTGAAGCAGTTCTACGCTCTCCCTGATTACTATTCCCTCTACAAAGATCATTCGGCATTCACTGAATCCTCCCAGGTTACATTCCGCAACACAAGGGACATATGATAAATATACAATTTGCAGACTAGAGATATCAATGCTACGAATGATCCACAGATCACCTCGGTCTACTCATCCCAGCATTATGACAACACACCTCCAGGCACCACCAACAACTCTTCCCCATTTTCTGCGGAGTTCCCTAATGAATCGGGAACATCTCATCCGGAACACAACGTGTATGCTCCTAACTATTTTTAAGCTCTACATTGTCAATATCAGATTGTGTTTTTTTATATGCAAATGTGTATATATTCTTTATACATATGCCCTCCTTCCACCCCCAATGATTGATTCTTACCATGATGTTGATCTACATGTTGATTTGTATTTTATCCCACCTCCGAGTGGTTGATCTCTCCACACCCATGTCTTAAAATGAAACAATTGCGTACCATATTGAAAAAAATTGTTATTTATTGAAAAAAAAGGTTATTCCCATCTTGATACATATTTCAATTTTGTTACGTTCTGAATTTGCCTTTTTTATTTTTCAATTTTTCTGCAGACATGGCTGATCATGATCCTGGACGACAAGTAACTTGGATACCGCTGCCCAGAGCAGCTGCTTTCAAGTTTCCAACCGTCAAGTTTCCTGCTACCGTAGAGAAAAATTGTAGGCTTGTCGAGAATTATGCTTTTGAAAAACGATTTTTAGGCTATAAGAAAATGGCAGAAAAAGCTGCTGAAAGACAACTTGTTCTGAAAAACAAAAAGAAAAATGGAAAAGGCAAAGCCCAAAGCGCCAACTCACCCAGCGCTTCTACTGTTGAGAGAGCGAATGATAATTGGGTGGATCTGACACAATCAGCTGGACAAGTTTCGGGATCTACTGTAGGTGACAAACACTAACACAAAATCATTCAATCTGTTTTAGCACAAATGGGAACTTGAAATCGGAGGAAACGTCTTTGCGTCTAGTTACTCAATGCTCTCAGAAGAAGCTGTCACGGACCCCAGCACCTTGCATTTCTATTACAACAAGAACGATCAAACGAGACTCACAACTCCGGAAAAAGCACTTGATTTGACCAAAGAAGGGAAATTCGCCAGACTGGATCATTACTTTGTTAGTTTTGCGATTAATATTAAACTCTCATTCATACTTGTCGACCAGCTAATCCTGGGCCGGCTGACATCTCGCTTCAAAATTGAAATTGTGGGAAGAAAAAATTCAGCTGATATAGCTCGGCGAATCCTACAACCTTCATAACAAATTGACCAACATTAAAATCAGTATCCGGGTGCGTGAAAAAATGCCTGCCTGGACCACGATACAATTTAATTTTTATCAATTTTTATCGAAGGTTGTAAAGCTTGTCTATCATCTGGGTTTTTTGCCCACATTTTCAATTTTGAAGCAAATTATCAGTCGGCTCAAAATCGGCTCGTTGGAAAGTATGCTCTAATCACAAGTTTACAAATAATTCTATACTTCAGGATGTTCATAACTTCAACGAGTTCACTGTGCGTGCCTACAAAAGAGTGATCAAAAATGAGACTGATCACTACGTTTTCTGGGATGAAGCTTATCAGTTTTTACTGTCAGCACGACGAAAACTAGGTCAACAAGACAATCAGTGGACAGTATGTCAGCAACGTGAGCCGGAGAATAGTCGAGTTTTGTTGGAATGATCATGCGAATTTTAGGTCTCCATAACAAAAATGTGGAAAAAATGACGGAGCACACCAAATTGAATATGATTACTGTGGAGGAGTTCAAGAAGCAGGTGGGAGAGCACAATGTCGACAGATTCAAAATCACAGTAAGTCAAAAAGGGTGTTTGTGACGCTGATTTTGGATTGCCTTCAGATCGTACCTGATGCTATTCAAATGGCGACCACACAAATTGCTATCGACGATCCATGCGCCGTTGTCTACACGTTCGTCTCCACTGTGAAAGTAATGGATACTAGCCAAGCGGTGCTGCGCATTGTTTTAGATGCAATTTCTGGAATCGATTGGAGAGAAGTGAATCTCTTTTCTGATCCCAACTTCGCCGATTTCGATGATACAATGCACCGTACTTTGTACTCCGTGACGAACTGCTCAGATGTGAGTTCAGACAAGTTTTGATTCCAATTTACGGGTTTCTTTTTTTAGGGTAAAATGATTGCCTGCGAAACGTTTGAAATTTACTTTCGAGCCATGAGGACGATTCGTCATTGGGAATTTCTGCTGAAGGCCGATTTCGATTACTTGCATAAGGGCATGCCATTTGACGCATTGATTCCGTTTGATTCCCATATTGAAGTTGGAGCTCATCACGATTTGACGAACTATGTCAAAACGAACAAGGCAGAAATTCCGGTTTGGCTTTCAAGGATTTCCATTATCGGCGCTTACTTCTCCAGTTATGTGAAGCGCTCCCAAAAATTCGATGGTAGGGTCTTCGAATTGATGATTGAAGCATTGTTTTGCAAAATGCCTCTCGAAGAGAGGGATAATCATGAACAGATGATGGTGAGCTTTCCCAACACTTTGAACTAGCCAGTAATTACAAATGTTCATGTTTTCAGAACTCAATGTACAATGACTGGGTCAACATCAATGAAAAGAGAGGAACAAAACCATTTTTCGTGGGCTTGGATCCAATAATTACTACGAACCTGAATGTTCATTATGATTTTGATGACAAATTTCAAAACAATTCTGAACCATGTGAGTGTCCAATGTGGAAGACAAGAGCTACAAGAGGGTTCTGTGATATAAAGAGAAAAGACGAACAACTCGCTGAGGAGATAGCAAAGACGATTCGATTGCTTTCGAAGGTTGAGGAATTAGAAAAATGGAAGAGAGATTGTCTGAAAAAGGAAAATAGTGAACTGACCAATTCACTCCGCATCATCAGAGAGTTGGAGAAAGAGAACAAAACTCACGTTGAGGAACTCATTCGCTTAAATAATCTTCTAAAGGATACGGCGATTCTGCTTGATTCGAGAGCGATAGAAAGTAACGTAATGATTGGAGCGGAATGCAAGGAAGAGTTGAAAACGTTGCGCGAGCAACTTGACGCAATCGTTCAGGAAAAGGCGGAAGGTGACAGGTGTGTGTTTGATAAGAGAGCTAGATTTTTCTTTTTTTTAAAGACCGAACTAACTATGTAAAACTTGAACCAAATATTTCAGAGCAATCGCTGAACATGCAACAAAACTATTTCATTTTATGGAAGCTTTAACAGAAGTAGAGAACGAGCGTAATGTGTTCAAAAAGCAATGTGAAGAGTTGAAAGAGAAAAATGAATGGTAGGCTAAAATTTACATCAAGTAAATTATCAACTTTTATGAAATTTCAGTGAAACCAACGAGAATGCAATTCTTAAGGAGAGAATTCGAATGTTGGAAAAACAAATGGCCGTTTTGGAGAAAGAAAAGGAAACAGACAAAGGCCAGCTCAAACTGATGGAAACCCAACTGTTATTGGAGAAGAATGAGTCCCTGTTGAAAAATGCTCAAATACAAAAGGATATTGATTTTTCGAACCAGATGCGGCAATCAGACGCGCAGAGGTCAATGGAACTGCAAAAAATCAATTTGGAAAACGAGCACCTGAAAGATATTTGTGAGCGCCTCGAAGATGAAAAAAAGAAGTAAGGATTTCATTTTGTTTTTTTTCACAGTTAACAAAAAAAACCTTTCAGGGAAATTCTCGAAAAGCTCAAGCTTGAACGGGAGATGAAGCGGATGGAATACGAAATGCAAGAAATGGCAAAGTGGGAAGACCCACAATCAGCTCACAGCAGCAACTACAGACAAACAGAAATGCAGTGGTCTATGGAACTGCAAAAAGTCAACTTAGACAATGAGCATTTAAGAGACATCTGCAAACGCCTCGAAAATGAAAAAGAGAAGTGAGGATCCTTTTTTGTTTTCTTTTCAGTTTCCAACTGAAAATCTTCAGAGAAATTCGTGAAAAGCTGAACCTTCAAAGAATGGTTCAAAGGATGGAATTCGAAATGCGTCCCTCGTTTTCAACCCAAGAACCTGGAACGAATGGCTTCCAACATAGATTTTCCAACGTGCCAGTGCCTCCGTTTATCCCACCGTCGATGAACTCAAGCCCACCAATCAATAGACCTTCTTCTTCCGGACCAAATCAAGCTGATGTTTACCACGGCCACTACTTTAATCAGGCGCCAGTGTTGACGTCTCACCAGCCCATGAACCCGTTTGTAGAATCGAATACCGATTATTCTGCAGCAAGAGCAACGCTTCCATCGCCCATCGCCAATAAGGCGGAGAACTTGGAAGAATTCATCGAGATATTCAAACGACTCGGCCAAGATTCTCACGAAAATGCTCCGCCGGTATCACCCCACACTGCCCAACAAAACGGTTTCATTGCCGGATTCGGACTGACTGCTCGAGACCATGAAGTCTGGGGTCCACAAAACTTTTAATTTCTAAAAATCTCATTTCGTGCAATTTCAAAGGTGTCCCCCTCCATGATGTTTCCCATTCCTTCGGTTTTATGTATCTTACATTCTCGACTAATTTAAACCCATCGAACAATTCTTGACTTGTTTTTTTTGCTCAAGAGCATTTCCTATCGAATAAATGAAATCATTTTTCTGTTTCCTCTTTTTCCGTTGCTAATGAATCAATTTCATGTGAGAAAGTCGTGTTGCCTAGCAACCCGAGAGTTCGTGAAGCAGTGCTTCTCTTTATATTTCCTCTTCTTTCTCTTTTGATACTATGTTTCCTTCATTTCGGCGACTCGACGCGGAAGATCACAGAGGGCGGAAAGTCGGCGTGTGCTCAGAACGGCTGATGTAAATTCAAAATTCTCTCTCGTTCCGCTGGGGTACTAAAAATTCCCATGTCGTTAGAATGACAGTTTAGCAGTATGCAGTCATCAGTGTAGCTGAAAAGTGATTTTTTGCACACTTTTCGATGGGCCGTTTCTGGGCCGACACGGTAACTTGCTTCAAAACTGAAATAGTGAACAAAACAACAACACCGAATGATAGAGCATGGTGAGCTCTTCAACCTCCAATAAAAATCGACGGGCTTCAAAAACGGTATTATCGCCTGTGCTTTACACAACTATTAAATTTCAGCCCGCACCCGGTTACTGATTTTCATGCTGGTCGATTCTTATTGGATTGGTTGTAAAACTCGCGGGAAATATGTCATTTGATACATTGTTTTATACACAAATTCCATATAAAACCGAATCAACAGCTGGTCCGTGCAGGCCTCGAGTCGACGTTCGGCAAATGTGGTTTTTATTCTTTGTCTCTCGAATTGTTTCTGAAAAGAATGGGGAAATATGTCAATTGAACTCGAATCGTCTTTCTGTGTTTTTTCTGAAAGATGTTATAATCGCTTTATGTCCCTCTTTTAGTTTTAACCAAATTTCTTCTGAACACAAGTCCCGGCTTGTAAGATCTGTGACGGGGAGACTTCCTCCTCATTTTTAATTCAACCAAACACCACATTTGCATTTTATTCCTTTTGTGTCTGTTCTCTCTTTTCGGGTGCCCTTCTCTGACGAACTCACCGTGTTCGTTGGCAGCTGCCCTCTCCATAGTGCAACGTTCTTTTTCCCCTCATCTCCTGCACCCTTTCTTCTTACATCTTTCCCCTCTCGGCGCTCATCTGACAACGAAGCTTTCGCCTCCTTTTTTGTCGTTCTCTTCTCTTTTTTTTCCGCTTTTCTCATTTCACCTTCTTCCTCTCCTTTTCTTTTCTCCTCCTTGTCGCGTTATCTCGCGTTTTGAAAAGTTCTTTTTTGAAGTGAACGCTAGAGAAGGGGTTTTTTTGACATCTGGTAAAAATTGCAATTGGTTTTTTTATGCTTATCGAGAACTGATCTTTAACAGAAACAAACTCTAGCAAAACCTCATTTTTGCAAAATTGAAAACGGGATAACGGAGTTTTGTTGCTCGGTTAGTGTTAACGTTTAGGTGTAGTTAGCGGGTTATTGCTCCGGCTGGATGGATTGGATAGAATGTTTTGTGATTTCGCGGATTTTCTAATGAATAGTAATCTAACTGTGATCAAGCACTTATTATCTGCAGAATTTTGATTTGAAGACTGTCATTGTTACCCTCAGGCTCTATCCATTCTCTTCTTTTTGTTCTAATTTCATGAAAGTTCCAGAATTGCAGATAAAAATGCCACGTAAAAAGGTGAACTACAAAAAAGGTGAAAATCGACTTGCGAAGCTCCAGAAAGAAAATGCACGTTTGCGAGTATGTTACAAGAGCTACCAAAGAACCTAAGGCTTTCTTTTTTTCAGGATCAAGCTGAATCTATCTCAATGTCTATTTTGTGTCAAGCAGTAGGAGCTCAAATGAAGTACAAGGAAGCGCAAAATGATTATAATCTTTTCAGGGTGGGAAATTTTGAAGATTTCAAAAACTACATCGAAACCATGAAGTTTCAGACAGGGCAAAAGTCGAAAAATATATATCTCCGCTATGTGTTGCTGAATCGTTTCATGGATGAAAAATCGTTTTTCGCTGAAGAAGCACTGCACATACTTCGTATTGGTCCACAACACACCAAAATGAGAGATGATGAGAAAGAGCGTGAGCAAATCAGAATTTTCAAGGGAACATCAACACCTTGTTGACTACAATTTTGAGAAATATTTTAGGACAGGTTAAGAATAGCCTACCTAGACAGCTCTGAGAATTTTAGAATGCTTGCCAGTTTCAGCCGGCTCATATCAGTTTCAGCACCAAAAATCACGTTTTGAGTGCAAAACTTTGAAAATTAAATATGAAATTTCATGCAATTCTAAGTATGATGACACATATTACACGTTTTGAAGGTCTTGGAAGATGAGAAAATACTAAATATCGATGTTCTGCACTTAAAACGCAATCGTTGAGACAGGCGAGCGGATTCTATGAGTTTTAGAACTTTTAGAGAGGCTATTCTTGCCCCATCCTGATCATTTGATCGAATTCTAAATTCAAAAAGTGTCGAAGTCCACTTGTTAGTTATGGCATTCTACATAAATTGAATTTTCAGGTGAAATTCAAAATTTTGCAAGACAGTGGAAAACACAAAAAGAGGATGAGTCAAATTGCATATCTTTAATCAGTGAACATACACTGAAGAGTGCTCTCATCGACCTCAATATCTATTTCAGTACAATCACGGTAAGTGTTGCAAAGAATTCTATGCTAATCGCCATTATCGGAGCCTTCATCATGAATTTTCCACCAATTGTATATAAAAAGTGAATACAACTTCACGAAACACCAAGTTCGGAACAGTTTAGCAAATAAAATACGGTTTCATTCAAAGTTTTGAAGAAGTTTATCAAAAAGATTTTTGGAACCAAAAATTTATTGTCTGTAAAAGAAGCGCGCCATATATTTGCAATTTTTGCACAGTTACTACGGTTGCTACATTATTATATCGGTTGTCCGAAATAATGAAAGTCAGAGAATAGTTTTTGCTAAGTGTATACGGTAGGTATCTCAAAGCGGCAAGCCTAAATAGCAATTATCAAGTGGAGACGCAGACAGTGTTTTTGAAAATATGTCTGCGTCTCAACTCTCATTTTTCGGAAAGCGATAGTGACAGATATCGCAAACCTGTCGATTAATGAAATATGGAACTCCGCAAGTGGAAAAATTAACACAAACCCAACGTCTCAAAAATGCATGATTGCCCGTTAGCTTGTGTCAAACTTCGGTTACAGTATTTTTGCTGCCCCTTGTATAAAACCATGCACATTATTCAAATGCTTTACAGCTAGTGGAAGATATCGACTACAGAGTTATGTTCAATGAACATATGTCATGTTTTGAAAAACCAATCCACTATGTTGATCCTAAGAAAAAGAAAGTTTTGACTTGTGGTCAGGCTTTCTATGCGATTTTCATCGCGTGCTGCTGGGAACCAATTGGAACGAGAACGTTTGCTCGGAGCATCCAGATTGTAAGAATGACTACCAAAAACTGGTTATTCAGATTGTGTCGAAATACAATGGCGAACACGTATCGGTTAGTATCTATCTTATTATCAGACTATAAAGGAGGATTGATATTTTTCAGCGAACCATGTTCCCGTTCGCAATGGTCCAGACAGAAATCGAGCAGTTACAAAGACATTGTTATTTTCTTGCTATGAAAAGAGCCAATGAGAAAAGAGCTTACGCGGGAAGAGACTATCTTTTTTCTGACATGAAGCACGATGATCAAGTCGGTATCAGTTCTTATAAATCCGTGGCGGAATTCTATGATCTGCAATATATTCAACTGGATGGTGGAAGAGTTGACGCTTGGATTGCCAGATTCCTATTGATGGCTGGTTGGACGAAGCAATTCTTTGCAAGAGAAAAAACTAGTGGACAATGTTTGCTGATTATAATGATGCCTCTTCTCTTGGAATTTATTCCTTACGGTTGTCAGGATGTCGCTCATGACTTCATTGTACGTTTAAGTTTCATTCCAAAATATTTCATTAACGAAATATTAGGTTGGCGGGAAAGTCTTTGTCACTCTGTTTGTTTAATCACTGTTCTCGTATATGGAGGCTGTGTATGATATCGACTCTAGTGAATAACAAGGTGATAAGAACCTTCCATATAAACAAGTCCCCATTTCCTTCCCTGCTCCTCATCTGTAATTGAAACGATATGTTTGTTCCCACTGCTATTCACATCAGACATGTTTTGATTTACCTCTTCCTATCTCACACCACGATGAAGGATTCGGAAACTTTCTTGAAGAATGTGTACAACACACATGCCCCTCACTACAATACTATTCGCAATTGGTTCCATCGTTTCGAAAAAGATGACTTCTCGCTCGATGAAAAGGATCGCTCTGGGAGACCCCGTGAGTTGGATTTGGACAAGCTGAAGCACGCATTGCAATCGGATCCATTTCAATCTAGCCGTGAACTAGCTGTCACATTCGGAGTTCACCATAGCACAGTCCTTGAAGGTTTGAAGTCTCTTGGAATGAGAAAACTTTTTGGTCGACTCATACCTCATCACCTGACTCAAGCCAACCTTGACCGCCGAGTCGACGATTCGATTACTCTTCTCCACGCGGGCGATCGATGGCTGGACCGGCTAATAACCGGAGATGAGAAGTGGGTCTTCTACGATAATCACCACAGGAAATCCCAGTGGGTTGGAGAAGGAGAGAGCCCACAGGATGTCCCCAAACCCGGCCTTCATCCGAAAAAAGTTATGCTCTCTGTGTGGTGGGGAGTGGACGGCCCCATCTACTGGGAACTTCTGCCCGAGGGCAAAACAATAACTGGAGACCTCTACACTACTCAACTACGAAACCTCAAGAAAGCAGTCGACCGTTCGGCCCTGAAAGACAAGAAAGTGTACTATCAACATGATAACGCTCGCCCACATGTTTCGAAACAAGTGAAGCAGGAGCTGATGGGATATGGATGGAATGTTCTCCCTCACCCCCCGTATTCTCCTGATCTTGCTCCTTCCGACTATTGGTTATTTGGCGATATGACACGTGCCTTCGAAGGAAGAAGCTTCAATTCCCGTGGAGCGGTCGAAGCGGCACTCAAACAATACTTTGCCTCACGCCCGGCTGGATTCTACCGCAATGGAATCCATAAATTGAGGGAACGTTGGAGACATGTTGTTGATAATGATGGACAATATAATTAATTATTCGGTTATTTTTTCTTTGAAAAATAAACTATTGAAAAAGTGACAAAGACTTTCCCGCCAACCTAATAGAAAGCAGAGGGGTTCTTTTTGCACCTTCTCTGTTCGACTACAAATTTTCAGAGCAATGTTACTGTTTTGAAACCGATAAATCTCATGAATTTCAGGTTAGCATTAAATTTTTGCAGTAATACGATTACCGTGTTTCTTCTTATGGACACCCCCACCAAACCTCTAATTTTAAGCATAATTATCTCGATTCCTATGTAAGATATCAAAACGTTGTCACCTGATGAATTATTTATTATAATGTCACCATTATTTTGATGGTTGACAGATTTTTTATATCTTTCTCAGGAGTCAAGATAAAGGGGCTCGACGTTAACGGTATGGGCAAGCTTGTGTTTAAGTAAATTTAGTAAAAACAACATAAAAGGCATGCAATTACCTCAAATGCATTAATAAAATGCCACCTTCAATTCACGTTTTCTGAGCTTAATTATCTCAATTTCTGTAAAAGATGTCATTAATCTGCTTATTTCAAACGTTTTCAGGATATTGTGACTAACATTTTATCAAGTGATAGATGTTTGATGTATCTTATCAGGGCAGAAATAAGTCGGCTCAATGTGCAAGTATAAGGGGCGTTCTATACGAACTTGAATAATTGAAATTCTAGGTGTTTAAAAAAGTCAAAAAAAAATTGAATCTTTCTGATCCAATAAATATTTTAGTACTTTCATTTTTTTTGAGCTGCTTACTAGCGGTGAGATACGGTAAAACCTGTATTAGAAGGGCCGACCCCTCTTCTTGTTCCAAGGTACCTCCGGAGGGCCCTTCTATTACAGAGGTGCTTCTATTTTTCCAAAAATATTTCATCAAAAATTCGGGGAACTCTCAATTAAAATTCATGAAAATGCATCAATTTCACTAAAATTAAGAAGTTTTTGAGCAAAAAAGAGTGTTTTCATGCAATTGAATGTTGGAGTTTTCGAAATGTTTTTCATTGAAAAAGTACAGAAATTTTGAATGTCAAACCATTTCATTCTTCCCTTCTGGGGGCCCGTCTATTTTTCCAAACCCACTTTCTATTAGTGGGGCTTTTCTATTAAAAGGTTTCTTCTAATACAGGTTTCACAGTAATTCATTTTTAGTTAATTCAGTTCAAAAACATTTTCGAAACACTTAGTGTTTTGTCACTGAATCCGCTTGTTTGAAAAACGCTACTCAACAGAATACAATTTTGAAAATTTGCAATTATGACAATTAGCACTCCCAATTTTTATCTTTCATAATTGAGATCTACATTTTCAGCCAAACTTCATCAACGAAAAATTGACCGATGCCAACTGTAAGCTCAAATATTCATGGGATAGTTTATGCCCACAAAAATTGATGAGTTTTTATAAAAAAGGAGTAGTAACAGCTCGTGGAGAACAACCAGTAAGTTTAGCACCCTTTGATCTCACTAAATCAGAAATTTTCAGGTCGACTGGCAACTCGAACTTAATAAGCGCATTTTAATTTCAAACCGAAGCCTTCTACCAGATAATTTAAAATACAATTCCAACGTTCCGTTCTTCGTTATCGATGACGCTCATCAAAAAGCATTTGTAAAACATAATGATGGAACAGAGAAGGAAATGCCTAAAAATTATTTGTTGGATTACGAGAGATACTCTGTAGGTTGCCATTATATTGTTCATTAGAAAAAGAACTCTTGCAGGAGACTGTTTCTCTGGTGAGACATCCTCTTCGTTTCTTCCCCGCAAAAGACGCTGATGGAAGCTTTGTTCCTTATTTTCTTGAGAGCGAGGTTAAGATTATGTTTCGGCGTATTGCTATAAACAAAGAAAGCAAGTTTTATCTGACTTTTCCCATTTTAAAAAGTATTATTTCAGCAGGAATATCACCTCTCAGGTATACAGATTATAAAGACAAAGAAAATCCTCCCGAGGTGCTTGGTATTTACAATCTCGATAATTTGAAACAGTTGTGCAAATATGTAGATGTGGATGTAATCAAAATAATGGTAATATCAGCTGTTGAAGTTGTGCCACTACTTATGTCACAAATTTCAGTTCGTTCCTGACTTGGTCATGAAGCAAACCGCTCAGCATGCCATATCCAATCCTTACACTCCTGTCACTACGTTGGGATTTCATGGAGAAGTTGTTATGAACGACGATCAAGCCGTGATCCACACATATATCAGGGTACTCTGCGGGGTGAACTGGAAAGTAGTCTCTTCTTCGCAGCACTTCGAGGGCTTCCGACTTCGATTTTTATATACAATGGAAAATTATACAAAGGGAGACCGGGTGAGTGGATCGATGTCATTTTTTTTCATATCTTCCTTATAATTTCAGAAAACAAAAAAAAAAATAAAGTTTGTTAACCGAAACATTGAGCATCTTCTGGAGCATAAGCTTTTCGAGGAGCATCCGAGAACTTCTGATAGGGGTTTTTTGTATGAAGAATACAAGTTCGATGATACCATCCCCGGAGCTGAACACAAACGGAAAAGTGCTGAATTGGAAGTTCCATACCTCTCGCAAAATGAAGACATTCTTCCGATTTGGCAAGCACGGATATATATGATCAGCGCATACATCACTCTGTTTTGTCAACACTCGCGTTGTAATAAGATTTGCATGTATGATGAACTTCATTTCTTAGAGGATGGACTCCTATCGAAAATTCCAGAAGAAGCGAGAGAACAGCAGGCTAAATTTATGGTGAGTAGTAGGTTTAGATTCATAACCTTAAAACGTTTTCAGAGCATTGTGAGAAACATATGGTCACCAACGAAAAGTAAGGCTTTGCGAGTAGTGAGGGAATCTTTGGCGTCAGCGTGCAATCAAAATGAGCATATCTGCAATAATTGCAACCATAATGAATCAATCTCCAAAGAATTCGAAGAATCTGCTGTTGAAAACCATACCAAAACGGAAACAGAACCGAACCCAAAGACAATGCCAAACACACAAGTAGTCACGCAGACCAAAAAAGAAGATCCAACTCCTGCACCAAAACTATTTTCAACCGTTTTCACACCACGAACTTCATCGAAAAAGTCGGCACAGAAATCAATTAGTCTTGAAACCGCTAGTTTTCACAGTGAAAAAGATATTCCACTTATTTGCAAGGCTATTCTGACACCAGAAATCAGACGATTCCACAAGCGAGAGATTGAAATGCCGATGGCAGTTTTTAACACGTTTAAAAAGCATCAGAAAATGAAGATGGATTTTATGAAAAATGAATATTCCAGAAATATGAAGAAATTCAATGAACAGTAAGTACAGAAAATTTTGACAGTAAAAAATAAGACATCGAACATGTTTCAGTTCAAAAGCGGTCGAAGCTGACAAGAAAATAAGACCGCTGAGAGACGACGATCTGCATGAATATAAAAAATCGGTCGCTAAATACATGAGTATTCTAGATTTCAACACCGATCGATTGATTGTGGGTTTTTTGAGAAAATATGGAAAAATATAATGGTCCGATTTACAGAGAACCCACGATGACTCCGAATTGCTACGTATTCCCGCTGTACCGAAACTATCGGCGAATCTATTGAATACATTGAATTCAAGGATTCCTCCTACCGAATTGATTGAAGAGATCGATTTGAGAATGCTTTGCTGCGTATGTTACGGTCTCCTTCGTGATCGCTTCACCCGTTGCTCACGATGTTCCAACAAAGTTCACTCAACTGTGAGTGCTAGAAGAATATCTACCTAACTTCTCATTTTTTTAGTGCGGAAATAATTGGACAGAATTAAAAATAAAATGTGGATGGTGTCGGACCAATGAGGAAACGAAGATTAACTGCGATATAAAAAATAATCAATTTTCGTCACATTTCGTAAAAAGTAATATTGTGATCTCTCCTTCCGCGTAATTGGATGAAAAAACGGTTTTCCTTCTTTTTTTTACTAAGAATATCTGTATAATAAAGTAATTGCATGCACGACACTAAACATTTCCGAATTTTTTTATGATTTCTTTCAAAGTAGTCTTACTTTTCTACGTTCCAGTTTGTAATCACTTCAGTCAATTATCGTAAGGGTGGACTGATATTTTTCAACACTTTCTCACTTCGAAAGAAAGTTCTATTGAAAAAATTCCTGCTCGATGTGTTTTATTAGGACTATATGTTAGTTTTTATTGGGCTTACGAAGTGCAAATAGCTTCAAATGTTTTATTTTTGCAATAATCAGTTTACTCGTTTTTAACCAACCGAAATAACAAACATTGTTGTTTATTTTGAATAATCATGAAATGTGATCGTTTCGTTCATTCGAGTTATTTTTTGGTTCATCAATACACCATTTTTCGAAGACTGAACAAAAATATTTATTGCAAGTGAGATAATGAGAAAAAATGCGATTGATTAAATTTTTAGGTTGAGAAAATAGATTCAGGTTGCATTGTTAATAGCTGAGAAAGTGTTAGCATCCAAATATTAGCGTTTTCAATATTCAGTTGCTCATTGTACTCATTCTCGGTTTTTGAAATGGACGAATGATCGTTTCCAACAGCAGACTGGTTGAGAATCAAATTGAGAGCTGCAGAGAAATCATCCGAAGCACTTGAATCAATAAGTCCAGGTGGTTTAGAAGTTGTCATATCTGTAGCAGCAGTTTCTGAAAAAAAAACTGATAATATATGAAATTTTTACTCACAGAAATTACCTTTTATCATGACCTGAGAAGATTTTCCTTTTTTAAGAATATCATCAAAGCTAGCTGATTGAATTTCGCATTTTCCAGAGCTCTCATCTTTTTCTGGACTGCTAGTATTTTTTTGCTCTCTCCGGTATTTAGCTCTACGATTTTGGAACCAAATCTGCAAACTTATGATATTCATGAGAAATAGTAAAATAAGGCTCACTTGAACTCTTTCTTCGTGTAGTTGAATTCTGCTTGCCAGTTGGTCACGACTCGTTGCATCCGGATATTGGTTTTCAGCGAAAACCTTTTCCATTTCATCAATTTGAGCCGAGTCAAAGGTGATTCGGTTTCTTTTCTTTTTTCCAGCTTCATCAGATTGGCTTGACCTTTTGCGATCCTTCTTTTTAGAGTTGCTTGGAAGATTGTCATATTGCAAGCTACGCAGAATTTCCTCCAGCGAAGGCGTAATAAGATCCTGAAATTGTAATTATCACACCTGATTTCATTTACCGAAATCTCACATGAGCGCTCTCCATTCTGAATTGGATGGATGATTTGTATAGTGAAGAAGATGGCTCGATGGAAAAATATTTTCTCAGTTGTTGTCGGATAATTGACGGGAGGGGGAAAATACAAAGTGACCAATCTGAAAATAATCTTGGTCAACGAGCAACACAAATTTCATTTCAATCTGGTATTTGTGAAGATCTATGATTTCTTTTGAGAAGAGAGGAGAAATAACAAGACGTGTTTAATGACATACATAATCAAATGCCAAACTGAAAAGTCAGAGAAGAGACGTGCTTATGAGGGATTAGAAAATCAATAATAATGTTATTTCGAGAAGTAATGGCGTCAACGACGTATCCAGTATTACATAATCTTCGTATCACACCACCTGCTAGTATAGATAATGCGCTTATTCAAATGGTGGTGGGCCGCAATAAAAAATAAACTTGGATGTTTTCCCTGCACAGCTGGTCGAGTAAGCAGAAAATAAATGCGGAAGTCGTTCAAATTTGGCAGCGGACTTTTAAAATGTGTACTGATGAGTTAAGCACATTTTTTGAGAAGCTACCTTCGTTGCATATCTGGTTTTGGAAAAGAGGAGGGACAATTTTTCGCATGTCAAGAGAAAACTGAATAATTCATAGAAAACTTAGATACGAAGCGTCGGTCTTGCTCGTTTTCATTTTGAGGTTCATACTGAATTTCTTTGAATTTGTTATAACTGGAAAAACTGAAAAACTGCGGCGGTGGCGGCAGAAGAAGTAAGACGGAGACGGATTATTTGCGGAGAACCAATTTATGGGCAAAAGAGTGATGTGAGATGCTTATCTCGACTATTATATAAGCGAATTTGTGGCCGTTTAGAACGTTTGACCAAGAAATGATGGAGTCGAAAGAGAAATAGTGCAGAGTTTAGAGAGACATGAAGAGATTAAGTGAGCAATTTGTCGAAGTAGTGCCACTGAGCATTAGGACATGAAAGGGGATGTCCCTCTCGTCATAGGTACGAGCAGAGTTAGGACGTGATCGTAATAAAGTACAATTTTTGAGACATTTTGGAGAAGATTATTTATTTTATAGCAACGTTATATAGTCACAAACGTCTACATTTTTGGATGTTCATTCTGTGGACAGAGCACTTACTGGAGATTAAATTTCAAATGTCATAGGATCTGTGAAAATAGCAAGCGAGAAGAGAATGAAAATGGACAAGGATGTTTCTTTTTCAAGTTGACTTGTCGGCCTTTTTCTTATAAATGTCAATCAGATGAACCCGCGACGATTAGCATAATCTTCAGCATTGATGAGCAGCGCGGCAATGATTTATGAAATGGCCGCGGCGCGAAGACGACGAAGCGAAGGCTTATTACATTTTAATTTGAGCATATACGAGCTTCGATGATGAGTGGCGAGAAGAGATGAGAAGAGGGACTCTCGAGAAGAAAGAGAAGAGATGAGAAGAAAAATCTTCGATGATGGAATTAAGCTATTGCCGATGAGAAAACAGGAAATCGTGGTGAAGCTCGAGTTGTGAAAGATAAATATAACACTAACGGGGTAGGGCTGAATCAAACAACAGAAGTGAAACGCATTTCCTGTGCAGTGATCATTTCTGGAGGTGTTATGTGACATTCTGTAGAGTATGAGTATCCATTTGGCTCGATCAAGTTTGCACTTGAATTACACTTTTCATATCATTGGCAGATTGGATTGGATAAGACATGCGAGCTTGATTAGAAGGACAAATTGGAAATCATGAGAATAAATTCGAACTTTTTCTTCAGAAAGTTCGATTGATTTTGCAACGATAAAAGCAACATTACAACAGATGAACAGAACACAAATTGAAAAAGGACACGTTTTTTAGAAAAATCCATAAGCTTCAAAATCTCAATTATGCCTGAAATGTCTGAACTTGTTTTGAAAACTACACAGCTCTGCGACTTAATTCAAACAAAATTTAAAAAATTGTGACTCTTAGGTTTGTGAAAATCAATTTGTGGATATCAAATTACGAAACGTGACGCAAACTCAGAAACAATTCGCAACATTACATTTTTCCATCTTCGTTTATTATTTGTATTTAACAGGTATTTACAATTTTTTAGTAAACTTGCGGCAATTCACACGAGAACCGCCTAAAAATAATGTTTCCACGCCTTCAAGGAAGGAATGAAAAATTTGTCATGCGAACAAATTTAGTATATACACATTTCTAAACAAAGAAATGGGAAGCTGGCAAGTTTTGGTGAGAATTCCGCATATCTATTCCCAAAGGTGCCCTTGTTCATTTACGATGCACTCAAAAGTGACGGTCCTTCGTCGAAGACAAGCGGATGCGGAATTATGGATGGGCCGTGCACATACGCTTCTTTGTGAGAACTAGAGAAACCATCATATCCTGACGAAAGTGGATTTGATTCGTCAATTTATTGTTGTCTGACAAGAGAATCTGAAAAAAAATGTAGCTTCTTTCGTTTATTGTGCTATTGTAGTTCTGAGATTTTAATTGAAATAAGATTTCTTAAAGTTTGAGAGAAAACAACGACGTCAAGCAGAGTAGTCGTCATTATCAGATTGCTACAATGTTTCTTGAATATTCTGAATATGCTATACAGAGCTTTTCAAGAAATTTTTTTGAAATCAACTTCTGAATTATCCAAAACGGGAGTAGGATTTAATATAAAACGGGAACAAAGAGAGGGTTTTCACTAAATCATTATAACATGAATCGTTTTCATTAAAATTTTGAAAAAAATTCGAAGTTTTACAGAAAAAATACGAAGTTTTCAAATCAAATATAAGTTCATTTTTTTATTGTTACCAACTTTTTCGAAAATTCGCTCCTTAGAGAAAAACCTGATTTCAAAGAGAAAACACCTCGAAAAATTTGAAATAGAAGAAAAGAGTGGGATAATTGCTTCAGGCCGCCCATATTATAAGCAAGTGATCGTGCAAAAATTGTGAGCTACAAAAACAGAATTCTAAATTTGTTCATGAACTACAGGAAACTTCAGACCAAAACGAGTAATAAGTATTTTTTCAGATTCCCAAACTTGACAATTGTCACAGAAACGGTCATTCTGGGATTGAATATCTGCCATCACATCAACAACGTTCTTGATTACGGAGTCGATGTTTCCAGACTTTTTAGCTCTTTTCATTATCTTTTTTGGTTCAAAAAAGAAAGATAAAAATTTTGATTCAGGTTTTTTTGTAAAATGTCTATGAAAAGTTTTGAAAAAATTATTTTTTGCAGATTTTGTGTGTATTCCATAAAATTTCTAATTTGAGCTTTTCCCGATTTTTCAATTTTTTCTACACTGCTTGATATCAATCTGTACTCCCTATATCCAGTATAATGATGTAAATGTGTCCATACGAAAATGTCTAAAAGTGCAACCCAACAAGTACACACCAACCCAAATGAAAAGCCTCACGCACTTTTTTATCTTTCTGTCGGGGACACAAATCTTAATGTGGGTCAGTAATGGAACGGCAATGCGGTGAAAGTGAATGAAAAGTTGCGAATGTGGGGGAATGAGAACCCTAAGGACATCGAATTTTCCTCAGAGTCTATCAGTAAGATCACTATCTTCCTGTGAAACTCCGCCCACTTTTCGAAACATGACCACCCATATAAAAACTCAAGAGAAGTGTGAAAAGACACAATAGGTACAATATTCTAGGAGACATGATTTCTACATCCCAACAAGTTACTGCACTGTTAAAAGATGTTATTGGAAAATTTAAAGCTCAAGTAAGTTTGATTTTTTCATCACTACCGTTAATGTGATACTCATCTCAAAAACAATTTTTTGTAACTGTACACTTTTCGTGGGGAAGATAACCTTCACATCTTCCATTTAGTTACAGTACTCATAGATGGCATCATCGAGAATAACAACAGCAGTTTTTTCTTTTTTTTTCTACGATATTTTGTTTACCAAAATCTCCGACTGTATTATTTTTAGTGCATTCTCTTTATAGAATAATCGAAATTTACAGTAATCGACCCCTAATGAGTTGTTTTTCTTTGGAGCTTTTGTATAGTAACACTATAAAAGAAGAAAAATTAGTTTTTCGCCCATCATGGGAACATGATTCATTTCTGAAGAATTGTTGTTTTCAGCTATTGTCTGATGGAACAGCCATTTTTTCTCATGTTTCCCCTGTTCTATGATTCCTTACCATTATAGTTTCAGATGCAGATGAGCAATTCGCTTTACATACAGATCCGTGACTGGGTGGCTTTTGTGGTATCTCATCATGTAATCATGGCAATGTATTTTGTCTTGAGCTACTCAGTCATCCCATATTTTGTGCCATCAGTTTTTTGGGAAAAGTGCTTCATCAGATTCTTCATCGTTCATTTATTTCTCGTTGTTTTCTTGCACTACCAACGGGTCACAAAATATCCACCCGGACCACCACCCATGGCAATTCTTGGAAATTCTCCATTCATTAATGTTTTATCTCCTGAGAAGACTTTTCTAGAATATCGTGAGATTTACGGTCCAGTTTTCACCCTTCATCTGTCCCGTGAGTTTGATTCATTTTTTATTTCAAATAAAATTTATGGAGTTTAGAACCTACCGTAATCCTGGCAGACTACAAATCAATTGAAGAAGCTCTTGTTGCAAATGGTGGGTAATAAATGGAGTTTATTCCAACAAGAAAAAAAATTCCATACTTAATGGATTCAGAAAAAAAATCGAATAGAGAACATCGTTCGCCTGTTCTTCTTCTCTCGCAGGCTTCTACGATTCTCTAATCGAGTTTTTTTCGATCCGTGTTCGCAACATTCCAAGATAGTTCATCGCTACTATAGTGTGTCTTATTGTTGATATGATAAAAACTGGAACGCCGTGAAAACTCCGTAAGCTTCTTTTGTTTACAGGTCAGAAAACGAGTGGACGTTCTAGCGCCGAATCTTTCGTGCTTTTCACCGGAGACCGTCAGGATGGTGATGGTGTTATTCTTGCGATGCGTCAAAAATGGAAAAATATGCGGCAAGAGATTTTGCGTTTCATGTCAAAATGGTACGGTAAGCCAATGGATGAGTTGGTTCTTCATCATACCAGAAGTCTGGAATCGGAACTTGTAAAAATGGCAGAGTCTAAGGTAAAATGATCAAAGAATGATGAGCTAAATTGTTGTATTTTAGTGTCTAATTGATCTGCGTGAGCCAATCTCTGGAGCTATTGCTAATGTTATCCAACAAATCACAATTGGAAGAAACTATCTCTATCAAGACACCGAGTTCCAGGCACAACTCAAAGATATCAACGCTGTAGTGAAGGAGGTAGGCCCCATTCTTCGATTGGCAATATCGTATTACCCTTCAGATCATGACTGCCGAGGTGTTCTTCGTGAATTGTTACCCTTTTCTGCGTTTTCTACCAGAGGGCATTCTGCGCAAATGGACGAATTACAAGCGAAGTGGATTTAGACTTCAGCAGTGGTAAGAACCAGTTCTCATGTGACACACGGAAATATACAGTAGCCCTTTTCAAGGTTCCGTACTATCTTGGACGAACATCACATCAATCGGCATCAGGGTGATTTCATGAGTCACATGGTTGATTTGCAGGAGTCCCGACCGGATGAATTTAAGTATGTTGCAAAAAATCGGGAGTCAAAATTTCTGGAAGTTTTGCTTTAGTGACCTCTCAATTATCCTCACTTGCGGTGATATGTGGACTGGCGGAATGGAGACTACGACAACTACATTGAGATGGGGAATCATCTACTTGCTTAACAACCCGGAAGTTCAAACAAAATGTCACAATGAGCTGGTCAAGGTGTTTGGAACTGACGAACCAGAAATGAGCAAAATGAACCAGACGCCGTATGTCAGAGCCACTCTCTCAGAAATCCAACGCCTCGCAAATGTCCTTCCATGGGCCATCCCTCATAAGTAAGTGTTCCAGTATCGTTTTATTACATTCAAATATTTTCCAGAACTTTCGAAGAATGCCAAGTCGGTGAACATAAAATTCCAGTGAACACTGAAGTTATCCCTGCTCTTGGTGCTTTGCTCTGTGACCCCACTCTTTTTGAAAACCCCAAGGAATTCAAGCCGGAACGTTTCCTGGACAAAGAAGGAAAATATTATGTTATGGAAGAATTCCGTCCGTTCGGAATGGGACCGAGGGTCTGCCTTGGAGAACGTGTTGCTCGTACTGAGCTCTATCTCATTTTTGCGAGTCTCCTCCAAAATTTCCGCTTTTATTTGAACAGGAGTGAGTAACAAGAAACTGTCTCAAAGAAAAACATGGATAATTTTTCAGCCGATCCAATCCCTGTTGCTGAACGCATCATCGGAGGAATCACAGCTCCACCAAAGCCATACTCGACTCGTGTTGAGTACCACGGACAAAGAATCGTCTACTAAATTTTCCTTTTTTCAAAAAGCAACAATAACCTCAACAAATGTGTAGTGCTTTAATTATCCCTGCTATGTTCATCTCATAATTTTTGCTTTATTGTCTTCTGACTATTTAACATGATTGTAGTTATATGAATAATCTTATTTTACGTTTCTCAAAAATTCAATTCGATAAGATTTCTTGTGTTTTCTCACATACATAAAATTATGATACTATTGGAGAATAGTTAAGGTTTACACAAGTAGTATCACGTAGAGCAAAATGACTTAGTGAAACAAGTTTCATGACATTTCAAAATGTTTTAAGCGAACTTTCGATGATTCTGTAAAAAAATGTTTTTCTCAATGAAAAAAATACAATTATCAACGCAAGTTCAATTTTTGCCAATGGTTAAAATTTGAAGTTTTTTTAGATTTTCACAGTTTTTGAGCAATTCAAAAAGAATTCATACTTAGGGACCGAATTGTTTGAATGCTACTCAAAGCGTTCTTAAACGAATGAATGAAAGAACTGGTCAGTAAATTTTTGCATCCAAAACAAAGGACGTGTTGAAGGTTCTTAGGGAATGGAACAATTTTGAACTTTTCATTTCCTTTTTTATTTTGAGGTCTCAAACGCTTAGCAACTATTTTCAGACTCAATCTTTACGATTTACTCCAAATAGTGTCTGGGGAATCGCTTCTTTGCCCATTTCAACACTCAAACCTACTATGATATCTAATTATGCTCAAATATGCACTCTTATCTTTCCAACATCCCTTCTCACAGACAGACTACAAATCACGTTCCGAACGCAAGCCGAAACCACTTTGCAACACATACATCCGTCCGTATTTGGCCCTTTCGAGTACATTTCCAAAGCCGATCTAACCTAATTGAGAAGACATCGCCAACTTTTCAACATTAGTGCCCTTTTCCGATAAATTACCGTACCATGCGAATTTCTAGAACTTGTTTTGTGCGTGTCCTTCTGTGATGTGCGTAGATTGTGATCAGAACAATGATTCGTGCAATTCCGACATGATTGTTTCAATTCACCAGCGAATGTAGCAATTTTCAAGGTCACTTTAAAAAAAACGTCTCGAAAAAAGAGATAGGGCAATGATACTCAATTTTTTTTATTGAAGAGATGAAGAAAATGGCAAATTTTGAAAAGGCAAATCTCGGACAGGAAAATCATGGGGAGAGGAGTATACCCGACATTCTTTGGGAAAATGCAACCAAATATAATATCACACACGGGAAAGAAAAGAGAAAATGGAAATTTAAAGCACAAAATAATTCAGAAAGGCAATATTTCTGCGGGTGAATTAATGTAGATTTTGAATCACGACGTCGCCGGCTTTGTCCTCTGGCAATGGGCATCGTCTTTCCAACTCCGCAGAGAGGCTGGGGACGGTTTTCTCCTGCAAAACGTTTCTGATAAGAAGAAGTCAGTTGTGTGTCAGATGTTGATCTTTTGCTCTTCTGAGCTCCAGCTTAAAGAACTCACATCAATTACGACGAAGCGCTTGCGGTCTTTCGAGAACAGGAACACCTCGCCATCGTAGATGTTGAACCAAGCTCCATGGAGATGAAGGTTTCCTGAAACGTTCGTGAGTTGATGGTCAGAAATTATATAAATGTTAATTGGTGAGGCTAGAATAGTGAAATTTTTTTTGGTTTTTCATATTTAAAAGAATTGAAAATTAACCGGCTTCCAGATAATCTTTTAGGAATTCATGAGTGCTGATGTTCATGATTTGCTGGAGGACGTTTATCTGAAAATGTTATCGATAATTGTCCAGACATAAAACAATTTCCAACCTGTGAGAGCTTATCTTCGGCAGACCATTTCTCCATGGGGTCAATGATAGCTTCGAAACTTTGAGACGGGGCTACTTCGGATTCAAATTTCATCGTCTTCGGACCAATATGGAGTCGCTCATTAAGCCTGAAATTTTGTTCAAACTCAGAGACTTGCAAACGCTACTCACTTTTTCATTGACTCGAATCCGTTGCGTCGCAACCATTGGTCCATTGGGGAGGATACATCGAACTTCGTAGGGCATTGGTGGAGCTGGTACAGCGTATTCATTGCCTGGAGAAAAAAAAATCAAATTTCGAGTCCCAGAATTAAAGTGCAACTCACCTTGCAGTCTGAGTGACCGCACACGACAACATGTCGGATTTTCCCTCTTTTGACAGCGAGCTCCAACGCCGCTGGCTCGGTGTTGATAGAAACCTCCGAGTAACTTCCTACAAACTAATTTTAAGTATCTGGTCTTTAAGTATCTAACCACTAGTAAACAAATGGTAGGGATTTTGTTCCAGTTGAACTTATAATTAGTTTTAAGCACGAATTTCTCTTCCAACTTTCTTCGAAAACAACTCACCATAATTTGGTGCTGCGGGAATCATGTTTCCGGCGTTCCGAACGACGAACATGTCTCCGACGGCCGATTGGGTGAATCGGGTCGGAAGCATCCGTGAGTCCATGCAGGTGAACATCACAGCGGTGGGCTAAATTCAAACCTTGTTACTTTTCTCAAGTTTTTTCAAAACTCACATTCGGGTGGTCGCTCACGTGCTCGAACTGCTTCACCAATCCAGCCTTGATTTTTTGATTGTATTGGATCACACCACGGATAATTCTATTCATGGCGGACCTGTAAGACGCAAGTTGAAACAAAGACTGGGAGAAAAGGTGATCTCTGACAAAAGGAAAGGCTTGTAAAGGTGCAAGGCGGACGAATCAACGCAAGAAAAGCAAACACTAAATATCAAAACTACTGATAACTATACATTCGCAGGATGGAGGTGAAAGTTTACTGCCATTCAGAACAAAAGCTTGTAAAAAAGTTTCGAACTTTTAATGAAATATATTAGTTTTTTTGGGCTAATGGAGGTTTTTTCTCAAAAATTTTTTCAGTTTAGAATTTTGTGGAAATTTTGGGTTCATAAAAAAAGCAAAATTTTCTACGCGGGAATGGTTCGAAAGTCGTAAAGCAAACACTATCAAAAAAATCATAGTGGCGTTTCAATAATTGTCTGATGCATTTTCAAACAATGATCGAAACATGAGAGAAAGTGTAATAGACTGACTTTACACAGCTAGATTGACCGCTGCAAACTTTTCTCGCGTTTGTTCCATCTGCGAAATAACTATCTATCGCGTGTTTCAACAAACAAACACATAAAAAATTCAACGAGCGATCAGGTATTAGTGACTGCAATGAATACAGTGATCTCTAGAAAAGAATCGGAGAAAAAGTGCACCAATACGACGAATAATCATTTCTTACAATCACAACAATGAACGGATAATCAGTGCTCTGGCAAAAGAAAATTTGAGCAGAAGAAGAATGGCACAGTGATTTAACAAAAAGAAAAAGAACTAACACAAAAACTATGAAACATGCACAACTAAAAAATAGAACTAATAATTATACACCTTGCGTGCAGTCTTATTCATCGCATCCTCCACAAAAGCGTCAATAGGATGGACGATGAATGGAATTGTGGCGAGCCCCAAGGCGGTGACCGTCCATTTTCGGAGATTTGTTGGCAACTTGGTCGACTTCTCAAGGAGCATGTTCGTGAAGAAGCAGAATCTGTTGATCGTGAATCCGGGGATTAAAACGGATGCAAAAGTTTGCCACAAAACCGTGTCCACAGCGATGATCGCAACTCTCTTGGCCTTTTCGGTGTCGTTGGCGTGGGGTTTCTGGAAAATTAATAGATTTTTATTGGATCATGATTTATCTCTTTGCTTAGTGAAATGCTAATATTTATTCTTTGAATTAATTTAGGAGAGAATTTCGGCGTGGATAATCGCAGAGAAGCCGATTGCTGTCCGCGAATCTCCTGGCAAGAGTCCTGGTCAAGAACAGTTCTGGTGCCACTGCTGAGAAATTCAATATTTGAAAATGAGAATTTTTTACCACTTCCTTCGGCTCAAACAGTTTCTTGCTTTGTTTTCTGATCGAATCAGATATACTGCTTTTAAAGAAATTTTTTCCGGCACAAGACGGACCCCTTTCAGCACAGTTACTATTATAATATTAGCCCTCGCTTCTTACACTCCTTCTATTTTTCCTATCCTCGCAGTATGTTCAATGTTTTTCACGGTTGTCTCTTTCTCTCAACTATTCTTCGATAGGTGTTAACGATTATTCGTTTTTATTTACCAAAAATCCGCCTCCTTTAACAATTACCTTCGACTCCTTGAAACCTTTGTCGACAGAATCAGCAGCCACGTAGCCGAAGGCGACGACGTACGAGAATTTGACGACTACCGGTTTGACCAGAGATCGAAACGCTTCTCCAACCTCGTTGGCATATCCTGAAAATCAGGTCTATCGGTTTCCACCATCTCCCGATTTTCCACGCTTGCCTAGAAATCTGACTGGTGTATCGCGGAAGATGTCCTTCTCTACATTGCTACTTTCTACTGGAGACATCTGTAAAGTGGATTGGAATTAGCAGGAAGACAATGATGAATAGAAAAAGGCATAAATAGGGCAATTAACCACTGGCAAATATCCATAACAAAGTAAAAACAATGAACAAAGAACATTTTATAGCCAACAAAATAAATTATTTTCACCCGTAATGATTAATATACCGTTGATACGGGGATGTAATGAAGTTTATGTACATCAGAATGATGTTGGTCCATCATCATTTGAGCAACTCGCGGATCACATTGTTCACGCCGTAGGGGATAGTGAGCATGAGGCGGCCTTCCAAGAACCCGAATAAGACTCCTGAAAAATGGGTAAACACAATTTAGGCGTTGATTTGAATGGAATTTTTGAAGAACATTTTTGAGATACCATCAATAGAACTTTAGCAAAAATGTACCGTTTCAGTTTTGTCTAAAATCAGAGAGCATCGCTGACTGTCTTCATTTAAGGGTGTATACTCCTATACTGACATTTCTGGTAACTTCAGGAGAGAGGTTGGTGAAACCCCGGACTAGAGTACTACTTTGGCACTAAAAGTTGCAAGCCGACCAGATTTTTTGCACAATTCTCAGACCAATAGCTGTTCTTGGAATCCAAATATGTCTACGCCCAATACGTTTTTTATTTCATAAAACTCACCAGCAAGCACATCAGTGATATAATGCCTTCCAAGCGCCACTCTCGACAATCCAACAATGAATGGCAATGGGATAAACGGAATAGCAAGGAGCGGATGGTAGTTATAACTGAAATAGGCAAGGTTTCTATTGGTAACCACCCCCCAAACAACTCACAACATCACAACAATCATAGCAGCACGAGAACAATGACCCGATGGAAAGGAGTAGATGTCGACAGTGTGCTCCATGTACTAAAACAATGTGTCTTTCTCAAATATTAAAAGCCTTTCTCACCTTCAAATAAGTCTTCAATGGTCTGTCTCGATGAATGTAGAATTTGATGATTGCCACGAGGATCAAATCCATGTACAGGCCTGCAAGCAGTTGATTAGTTGCTCAATACGTTTAGGCACCTTTTCTCACCAATATTCAGGATAACAAATCCGTACTGGGTCATTGCATCAAAGTTTTTGCCGTAAGAGATGATCAGTGCAAGCGTCGAAAAAATAAACCATGGAAACCCGTGAATCTGAATAGATTAATTCAGAAATTTTGATGAGTCGTCCACAAATTCAATTTACCAGCCATTCAATCCACTGACAAGCCGTTTGATATTTGTTTTTATCGTATAAAAGCCTTGAAAACTTCTCGTCCGCCTCTGTTCCCCAATAAATTACTGAAAAAACATGGGTAAAAACCTTGTGAAAAACAAATTAAAATTAACTTACATCTCTCCATCGTAAATTTTATCTATATTTCGTAAGAAAATTTGGAGAGAATCAACACTGACGTTGACTAAAACATCGTCGAGAAGCAAAAAACGATAAATACGCTCTTGTTCACGAGGAGTACACGCACGGAGTTTCCCCTTCCATCTGCGCGCGGCCCCCACTTTTTTCGCAACAAGTGGGGAGTACCGCTTACCTTTTTTCCCGGTTACCGCTTTGTCTTACTGATCTATTTCCTTTTTATTTCAGAAAAGGAATGTTCTCATTTTTGCACAATTCAATAATAGTAAACAAGAACTGTGTTCCTAGTTCTCACATAAGTTTGAATTTTCGAAAAACGATGTGCCCAGTGACTCACTCGTTCAATTGTGCAGTTCGTCATCAGTGTCCATTTTTCTCAAATTTTCGCAATTGATTAAATTGAATTTGAGTTTAGAAAATTGATTATCTGCGCTGTTCGAATGATTCACTGCTATTTCTGACTTCAATATTATTTAATGTACAAATTATTTGAATTTTTGAGCAAAAATCGATATTTCTTCCTTTCACCACGCATTTCCTCTCATTTCGCTTATTGGAATATATTTATTCGGTGATTTCATGCATTAAAATTTTAACTTACAGGTAAAATGCCAGCTTATCACTCCAAATTTGACACCGAAATCAAGGTTATTCCATTGGGAAACACCAACATGGGCAAACTGCCGATTCGGACCAATTTCAAGGGACCAGCTCCGCGTAAGTTATAAAATAATGACCTTTTGTCACTTGTTTTTAAACAACTAACCTCTCAACAGTTATTTTTATAAGATATTATTCCAGAAACTACCCAAGAGGATGTCATCGACGAAGCGCTTGCTTATTTCAAGCCAAACATCTTCTTCCGCGAATTCGAGGTGAGCATTGAATTAGAAATTATTCTGACACTGAAGTTTTCAGATCAAAGGACCCGCTGATCGCACAATGATCTATCTCATTTTTTACATTACCGAGTGTCTTCGCAAACTTCTCAAGGTGAGCTTTGAACTTGGTAGGAAGAAACTTTTTACTTTTCGGTAAATTCGATATTAGAAATTTCCTGAAAACCTATTCGAGTAGTTGCCCCTAGAGCACTAATCTTCTAGCGTCTAATTTCTACCAGTTTCAAATATTACAGAGCGCCAACAAGATTGCTGGGCAGAAAGATCTGTACGCGTTGGCTCTATCTCACCATCTCCCGATTCCCGGAGAGAACGGATTCCCACTTAACAGCATGTTCAAGGCACCACCAACAAAGCAAGACGAAGACGAAATGCGTGCATATCTTCAACAGATTCGTCAAGAACTTGGAGCCCGTCTCTGCGAACTGGCGTTCCCGGATCCACATGCCGGTCCAACAAAGTGGTGGCTTTGCTTCGCTCGTCGTCGTTTCATGGACAAGGGATTGGTTCGCCAAGGAGTTGAGCTTTAACTCATGTTTGTATCTATATGTAAAAATTAATTTATTCATTTGTACGTATCCAATAAAGTGATAAACTCTGTTCAAAAATTAATTTAAAGGAAGTATCAGACAGACCGGTGGGGTTTCCATTAATTTGTCCTTTCCGCTTAACTAGTGAAATAAAACATCGGAGAACGAAGTAAAACGAGTAATTCGCAATTAATGATTCTCAGTTAGAAAAGTAAATTTTCTTTGAACTCATCATCAAATCTTTTGTTTACCGCAATTGGCACATATTATAGTTCACGTAAATTCTCAGTTCCATAGAAATACCATGTCCAGAATAATTATTATTTTTCTACGGTTTTAGAAAGTCAGCACTCAAAATTCTTTCCGATTGCCATTTTGTAGGATCCATTGAAATACCATGTCTACATAGAACAGTCTTCATTTTGAGCGTATTTTTGGTCAAAATTGCCCATTTTGTCGAATACCGTATCTAAAAGATATCAGTATCGAATGAAAAGATATTTAATTTAATTTATTTAATTTATTTCAACGAAGGGGAGAAAACCACTAACACGTGAAATGTCTATGAAACTAGGAGATATAACAGGGACATACATTAGTAATTAGTTGAATTCAAGACAAGAAAATGTTTTAGATCACAGGATAATAGTCGATCTTTGAAAACCGCGGACGAGGGCTTCACCGGAAACACTTCTGCGGGTAAAGAGTTCCAACATCTGATTACTCTATTAGAGAGAAATTGAGAAGATATTTTTGTTGAGTTCTTGATTAGTGATTTGAGATAGTACACTGCGTCACATAATTATAAGTTCACTTTAAATTTTGAATTTTTTCGAAAACTATGAATATGGACTGAACAGGATATGATTGAAGCAAATACTAATTCGGATTGTCAATTAATGAATACCATTTGAGACTGCTACCATTTCTTAAATTTGGCAAAATTGAAAAAATCGGAAAAATGGTCCGAAAAAACGTCATATAAGTATAAGTTCACTTGAAACAATGAAACATAACTCAAAACACTGATTCTAAAATTTAGTGAAACTATAAAATATAGTGAGAAGGGCTCATAATAATTTTGTTTATGGGAGAAATTTAGCTGTACCTACAATCATACTTGATTATAGGAGCTTACACTGGAATTTCCAGCTTACACTGGAAATGAACTTTTTCGTTGATAACTGTTCAGAAAACAGTGCTGACTCTGAATTTTTGTTTTTTACAGAATCATTTCCAATTGTTTCACACAGTTAACTGTCAAAAAACATGAGGCTTATTTGAAAACCGAGAAAAATTTCTCATTTTGGCACAATTTCACAAGTATGTTCCGAGTGGTACTGTGTCTTCCTCGGCAGACATATGATTGAGCTTACTAGCATAAAAGGAAAGTACACAAGTTTTCATTAGGGAACATACATAAAACCATAAAAATCTAGATCTTGTGTTCACGGAATCAGCAACTTTTTGGACCATTTCACACTCAAGCGTTAAAAATGGGCTATGAGGAGTCATGTTTACGGAGTTGTTTTGTGACGAAGGAGTGATGCATTCTGATTTTTTTTCCTTTAATCACAATGTTCTAGTTTAGAATTTACCGATACAATAGTTAGATTTTTTCACAGTTGCGTTCTAGACGTACGATTGGCCTAGAAAGTTATCATTTTTCGCGAAAAAATGGCCAAATTTCAAGGTCCCAAATATTATTTAGAACTCATTTCATCAATTTTAAAATTTCTCAGCATTTTTGAAAAGTCTTAACTTCTGTTTTTGTAGTTGACCTGATTTTTCAAAAAATCCGTTCCGGAGAGATATACGGTACCTTCTCGAAGGTTGGTAACGTATAGTTTTTGACAGATTTTTTCCCTCAAAG